GAGAGAGAGAGAGAGAGAGAGAGAGAGAGAGAGAGAGAGAGAGAGAGAGACTTGCCCCGTGCCGCGGTTGCCACGGAAATGCGGTTCCCTCTGGTAGATACACACGCCAGTGTATGTACATCCACCTGTACCAACCCATCGTTCCCTTGTACTTCCGTAATTCGCTCGTGTCGGAGTTTATCGAGTAACATAGAGAAGAGTCTCCCTATACACGATCACGTATGTCACACGTGTTGATTTTACGATCGATAATTAAATTCTCGTTAGGGGCATGGACGACATTTCGATCAGTGTCCGTACGATGTGTGTATCACGTTTCTGTGTTTTTCTTCTATTCTTTTTCCTCTTAAGTTTGATCGACTGTTTCGCTCTGCCGCATCATTAGGAGATAAAGTAATAGCTATTAACGGGACAATTATATTGGAAACATATTACAGCTGTTCTTTTCTTTTTTCCATCGAGAATAATGACGTAGAATGTTTGACCTGAGACCCTTTCTCGATTATCTCTTTCACGTAGAAGATCCATGATCTCGTCTTTCTTCCATTGCCATGAGGAAAGATGCTACCTGAACACTTCCGTCCAGGGATAGGACCAGCTTGGCAGCTGGCCATCTCGAAATTGCGTTGTTGCTCTCGCCACCCGTCTTCTTTCGTCGGCATAATCCGTCTCTCTTGAAAAACGTGCAAGGGCAGCTGAAGGATTAGGTGGTCTTGTCTCAAAGAATTTGAGATTTCCTAGATCCAGAAATTTGATCTTTCCAGTGCTCCAAGATAATTGAATTTAAAGATAACAGAACACTAAGACAAATATCAAGTACACGATGCGGAAAACCGTACAAATTCGAAAAATCTTTGATAAAAGACAATATGTTCGTTCTCATACAAATTTAATTAAGAATCAAAAGCGAGTCCTGTAAATACGAGACCCTAACTTCAGTCACAAGAACGATCAACGTCATTCCGTCGTTTGTAGACAAGTAGTAGACAAAAGACGTTATTTCCTCACTCGAGAGCAAGAAGAGATGGAGAATTTCATTTTCTCCCAAGGCATTTCTGGGTGTCGACATGCGTTGCTTCTCGCAGCAGCTGGTGAATAAAAGAGCTCCTCCGTACGCACGTGATTCTGAAAGGAAAAGGACGTCTTTTCTCTAAGAGGAGAAGGACGCACTGGCGTTCGATCGAGGCCAGCCAGTTGCGTTTCGCGGATGGATGTCGACATCGTCGTCGTCGTCGTCGTCATCGTGGTCATGTCTGGCCTCTGAAGACGCGTCGGTGTGCGAGAACTATTCTTCCAACCTCTCCGAACACGCAACAAAAGGGACCCGACGACATTGAAGCACTCGGCGGTCGCTCGACCGAGCTTTGTGTCGCGTGTCACATCCCCGTATCTCGACGTGCACTGCCTCCTCCTTCCGACAACCTACCTCCACCTTTAACCTGCCTCAATATCGAGACACCAGGATTTCCTCACTTTCCATTTCCCGCACGAAATGCGTAACTGGTGCACAGTAAGTGCCCTTATGTGAGGATTTTCCTTGAGGACTGAGAAATCTAAGGCAGACTATGGTAGCCCGCTCGTAGGCAAAACTGCGTAAATAAAGAGAAGTATCGTTAATCACTTTGTCTTTTGTGTGTTTCTGCGTCGCACTTTGAAAAATATATGGAACAAACGCTCGAATGGCGTGCCGTTGTAGAACGCATCACAAAACGCAACTTTGATATCTTGCCTCGCGCTTGGGTCTTCGAGCTCTCTCAAATCATTCGAAAACTGTAATGAAAATTGTATTTTATTTTTTTTATCACGATACTATGATTTAATGGCGATATTGTCAACACCTGGGGAAACTTGAAGAAACTCAAATTTAAGGAAATGCTTTATCGTCGACTCTTGACGATCGTTGATAATCGCTTTGCGAAATCGCGCGGAACGAAAGCATTTTCGCACATGGTCATATCCCGGCTAATTCGCTACTCTTTTTTCTGTTTTCAGCCGACACAATGTCCGTGGATAAGGAGGAATTGGTGCAACGTGCAAAGCTTGCCGAACAGGCAGAGAGGTACGACGACATGGCGTCCGCGATGAAGGCGGTCACCGAGACGGGGGTCGAACTGTCGAATGAGGAAAGGAATTTGCTCTCGGTCGCGTACAAGAATGTCGTAGGAGCGAGACGTAGCTCGTGGCGCGTAATTTCATCCATCGAGCAGAAGACCGAAGGCTCCGAGCGCAAACAACAGATGGCGAAGGAATACCGGGAAAAGGTCGAGAAGGAATTGCGCGAGATCTGCTACGACGTGTTGGTAAGTGATACCACCAAATGGTTTTTCTTCCTCCCCCTCGCTCTCTTTCGTTTTCCTTCGTTGTACCCGCCTGTAAGTCTTAGACGCGCGCGCCCATGGACGGCCGCCCTTTTCTTCCCGCTCCAGTGAGCCGCTCTAGTCTAAGAATAAAATTGGGACAAGGTGGCTGATCTCCTCTTTGGAGTGACGGGATCAAACGGGCCCGGCTTTGGAAACATCGCCAGCTGCGACAGCCTCGCGACCGTGCGCTCTCTCGACGCCGCCGCGTTTACTCGTTGAATTATTAAGCGAAATTGTTTGCGAGCTTGTTGATTGAATTCTCATTGTTGTGTGAGAATTATACGCGACATTTAACCCGTGAGTGAACGCGTGGGGGTCAAACTGACCGAGACGCATAAGCAAAGCAATATTTCTCTAATGAGAAATATCGAATAAAATATCGTTTACACGGAGAGAAAATATTAAATTTTTTTCTTTTAATATAAAGTTTTTTCAATTTTACTATGTTTTTGGTAGTCCAAAAACAGATTGTTAATAAGATCTGTTTTGCCTAGGAACATAGTAAATTTCGTTACAAACATAGCAAGTGTTTTATATATAATAGAACATTTCGGTTCTAAAATATAGTAGCACATATGAGATGAAAAAGGATAGTAAATTGCTGCGGAATGTCGATCAATTCCTCGATTACAAAATTCTATAGTAATTTTTGCTGTAAAATTCTCCCCACCTAAGTATGAGTTTTTAACTTGTAATGCTCCAATTTATTATTTTATGCTTGAAGTATATCTTGGCTTATAACCATTTATAGAAAGATAAACATGAAAGTTTATATACACAGAATATCTCTGACGATAACATATACTGATTTCCTGTACGATAAGTCATTCGCCAATCTTGTTTCATTAATAACTAAAAATTACGTGATTGTTCACAAAATGGTGAAAGAATTTTCAGTTTGACACACTCGCACGTGAGTGAGTTATGTTATCGTCAGACACCCTGTATATATATGTATAAAAGTCACGCGCCTACTTAGAGATTAAACACCGGCGTCTCTTTGCAATCTGATGACGTTGATGAAAGATTTGAGTCGCAGAACGCACGTTACTCGTCCCTCAAACAAGAAGGTCACGAACGCACGTCCCCCTTGCTGCTGTCCTTGTCGCGATCTGCGTTCGCGACTGCTTTTTTTTTGTCTTTTCTTTATTGCGCAAATACCAGCGTACGTACGTACAATTCGCGTGTTTGTTCAGCGGTCAGGCTCATTGTGTCGCCGGGCCGTTTATTGATCGAAGTTACTCCGGAGGAAAAAAGCGACATGTACGATGAAAGACGACGATGGCAACGTTGAGACGTGGTGAGAAAAGCTAGGTGTTCGCTTGGAATGGGGAAAAATGGGGAAATACGCGAGTTGCCGAGGAACAAACGTATGTGTGTGTGTGTGTGTGTGTGTTTGAACAAATGCCTCGATACGACGTAAGTGATGAAAGGCTATTAACGTTCGCCTCGAATTATATAATCCTCCGGTAATTCATTGACTTGTCCTAATCCTTAAGGCGTGCGAAAAATACGAAGGCGAGATTCTATCACTCCCGATTGTTTCTTTTCTCTCTCTCTCTTTCTCTCGCGAAATTCTTTTAATTCTTTTAATTCTTTTTTATGTCTTTTCCTAATACACGCGCGCGAGAATACTTCGAACTCTCGGTTTTGCGTATCACAAAACGCAACGTCGATATCGACGTTCGCCGACGCTGTCAGGACGCGACTCGATAAACAATCGTCAATAGTTATTTTCGGGCAATATCGACGCGAGTAAGCCATGTCGTTCGCGATTAAGCCGTAATAAGGTTAATTGAGTCGACTCTGTAGACCTAATGAAGCGAGCTCCGGCGCGGCGGAACTGTTTGGGCGGGCCTTTCGCTTTGAGCTGCCGCATAGCTCTTGCATGATTCGATACTATGACGAGAATGAGCCATTAACGACAAGACATGATAATGCATCGCTCGTAAACGCGACAATGCAAACCCGCCGTTTTCGCCTCGTGTCTTTATCATGCGACTTTATCGCGAGGCAAAGAAGGAAACATTTTGATGATTTAGAGATAATGTAAGAGCGCGAGAAATGATATCTAGCGATATACTTAAGCATCTCGGTATTGCTAGTTATTATTTCTCTCCAATTTACATTCTGAAAAAATACACTGAGAAAAAAATTTACTAAATTTCAAAAAACGTTTGTTTGGATAGTACTGTGAAGATATTTGTTTAAATTAATATATTCTAAATTTATTTAGAATTTTCTATTTTCTAAAATTAAAAAGAAACAAATTTATATTTAAAACTTTATTTAATTTTAGAAAATAATTACTTAATTTAAACAAATATCTTAACAATACTATCCAAACAAACGTTTTTTAAAATTTAGTAAATTTTTTTCTCAGTATATCTAATTTTTAACGAAATCCTCCTATATTAATTGAGAAAAATATCTGGAAAGTAGAAAATATTATTCGATAGATACTAATATATTTAATCTAAATTCTTTTGTTTAATTATTTCTAAATTTTTCTAAATTCATCTAAATTCTTATTGTTTAATTAAGTTCCAATTATGGCTGAGCAAATATTACGCGCCCGTATAACGAATTATAAGACACTAAATTTTATGTTAATAATGTCCATATTCATATTGTTTTAGTCTATAACATTTTGCAATTAGAGTTTTTTTTTATGTGTATTATTTGTTTTCACATCGCGGAGTGAATCAATGTCCAAGTATTTCGGAACGCTCCGCGGTGACGCGTCTTCAACGATTCGCCACAGCATCGTCGTCGTCGTTGTCGTCGTCGTTATAGTCGTTCACGCGAAGTTTTATCTCCCGCGAATCCAGTCGCGATAAGTGCGACATACGTTTCAGATTTCGCGTTTTATGTTGCCACTGTTGCTACGAGAAGCGTGAATGAATTGTATCATACGCCGCGTCATAAAATGTCCAACTCTTGGACTTGTTTTCACTTTTGTCGCATTATCATCGTCCATATCGTGGGTCTCGCTGTCAAAATTACATGCTCTTCATTTCCACCAATTCGGTAAAGAATTGAAAGAAACCTGCTTTTCCGCGTTGGCGTGTCTCGTGCAGCTATCTTAGTTTCGCTCTCATAAAGACTTCTCGAGACAGTTTCGGCGCGTTCCTTTTCTCGCGTTGACGCTCAACGATCGCCGATGTTTCCTGCTTTCCGTTTATAGCGAGGTAATTCGAAAGGCGTGGAAAATAATGTGTGGTTAAGTAACCCGGCGCTTCGTTTCCACAGAGATCGCGCTCCAAGAATTGCCACAGGTATGAATCAACGGTCGACTGTTTTCGTATAATCACGTCGAGCGATGATTTCACTCTTGTGTTCGTTTTTTTTTATGCTGCGACATGCACCCACGTACGTGGTATTGCGCACCGGCTCGAATATTTATCGTGCATTATTCACATTTTATAATATCGCCGACCAGATAAATCGAAGGATATCTTACGGCGAACTAGAAGCCAGCAGGAAAATATAAAATCGTGTAAATTCATTTAATCGTATAAATTAATAAAAGACAAAATTAATATATGAATTTTCATATACATTGAGAGAAAAAAATAAAAATTCTTGATATACATATTTAGTGAATACTAATAACATATATACTTTAATCTAAAAACACTTTTATTTAAACAGAATAAACCATTGTTTTCATGAAAAACTAAGAAACGAATATTTGAAAATTTATTTGTGAGATGTAAAGTTTATTCACAGAAGTAAATTTTACGTCACGTAAATAAATGTTCAAACATTCTTTTCTCAGTATAAGATCTCTTAAAAAATGTAGGGGAAATCCGAAGGTTGAAAGTTGAAAAAACCGATTATTTCTGCTATTTTTTAACAAGTTATAGAATTCAGAAAGCAAGATATTTAAATATGTCAAAGATGGCTTTAAAATACGTGTTTGCTTGATTTTAAAATCTATTAAAGAACAGTAGAAATAATCGATTTTGCCAACTAGGCCCGATCTTCCCTATATTTTCTTACTTGAGAAATATTTTGTTAGCATAAGTAAATATATTTTATTAGTACCCAATAAATATCACTTTATTTCTTAGGTGCTTCTCTCTTAATGTACTGACACAAAAAATTTCTTCCCTACATAAAAATCTAATCCCAATTAGAAACGTTGCGGTTATCACGGTAAATAATAATGCGGACGACTGCAGCAGTCACTTCCGACGACGTAAAATGAGAGAGAGAGAGAGAGAACAAAAAGCGAGAAGCTGTCGCCAATTACGAAGAGCCGCTTTCTCACACGTAGATCCGTTCGATCTGGTCTCTAATTGTCAGAAAGTTTCCGCTTTCTAGCGAGCAACTTCGTCACCGTCGTTGTCGAAGCGGCACGGGGTGCCAACTTCGGCTAGTATTTATTAGTGATTTGTTACTGCGTTGTCGGCACGATAACGACACGAGGAAATGCAAACACGAAAATACCTAACATATGCGCCGCGAGAAGTCATTAGCGGCGGTTGTCTCGCCGTCAATGTTTGCGCAAACTCGCGTCGCGTTTTGAAGTATTCATCATGATCCTCGCGTGCGAGATCCCCGCGACTTGCAGATAACAACTGCAAAGCGACACCTGCGACTTGGAAATTAATCTACCGGGTTGAATGTCGAGAATCGTTCGAGTCTCAGACGAAGACGTGACATCGACTTTCCATTCGGCGACACGATTCGGGAATTTTTCTCATCGTGAGAAATTAACGCGAAGAGCACTGCCGTATCGATTCGTGTCCGCGTGATTAAATCGCGAATTTCTCAGAAGTATCCACAATTGCTTCAACCACTCTTTTTCTCTCTCTCTTTGTCTCTCCAATTCTCGACGAACTCCATAGTCGAGTTTGAAATTAAATTTTCATTCGAGCCAATTTTACGAAAGTTAATTGGACTATGAAATTGCGTGGTGCATTTTAATTCTCTGTATTAAATATCGGTTGCGATTAAGACTCGCTGATAAACTTTCGCTGCGTCAATTAAAAAAAAGCACTTGACTCGGTAGAGGCGATATGTATATATATATGTGTGTATGTATATATATCAACACCGACAGAGAAGAAAAGAGTATCGTACCGGGTGTCTTGCCTGGAGCTTCGAAACCCGTTTGCAAGCAATACTCCCGCGTCTGGATCATCTTACGCAGTCGACGTCTTCCGCTTCCTCTCGCTCTCTCTCTGGAGGGTGGAGATCATCCTCCGGATGGAATTTCGCGCGGATCAATTACGGGCTGCTGTTGAGACCACTCATGATCTCTATACGCCGTCCATTTCCTTCGTGAGTTCACGTTTCGCTCGCTTCTTTGAGAATAATTCGCGTGACGTCGCGTTATCTTGATAGCAACGTTGCGACTGATCCCATTATCATTGTGTTCTCTTGAATTAGTTTTCTGTGTTTGAAGGATTTTCACTTTACTTGGAAGTAAGCTTTGATCAGAAAAGCTTTTTGAGTTTCTCAACGCATGGCTAAATCGAACTTTCCTATTTCAGTTTTTCCGATTAAATCCCTCTCTTTAGATTTTCCGACGTATATTAATTTACTCCGTTTTTGATAATTATTTGCGCGTCATTGTTCAATCTCGATTTCCACCTTCAATCCGCCTTCTCTACGTTTTAATTAGCTCGCGTCGATGGGTCTTTACTTCAACAGGAGACCCGCGGCGACATTAAAGCGTGACCTTTTCCGCACTTCGCCATTCTGCGAACTTGCGAAATCCATTAGACTCGATGAATTCTAAGCCACATAGCGTTCTCCGCGATTCCGGGGTTCCAAAGCTCGATCTCCGTTCTCGTTACGTGGGCGATGTTCTCCAGTATCCGGAAATGAGCGGAAACGGAAGAGGAAGCGGACACGCCTGCTCAGACGCGAACGTATCCCGACCGCCGGAAATGACACGTTCCGCCTCGTAATGGAAGCCCTTTCTTGAAGGGAATTTAATTCGCTCATGGTCATGCCCTTTTTATGCCAAAAATAATCTGTCGGTATTTCTCATCCAAAAAATACAATTCTTAACAGTTAGAATCTTTCAATATATATAGCCTCACACACACACACACACACGCACAAAATAGAACTTTCTTGAAACCAACAGAGAAACATTTTAAGTACAATATTCTATAAAGTTAAAGGAATTTGACATCTTTTATCCACAGTACAAGTCTTGTTTTTAATAGAAATTTCTTCTAATAAGATAGAACATTCTGCTTCAACTAAACATATTGTTATTAAAAAGTTTTAATGAGAGAAGTTTGATATGTAAAAATTATTTTTACATATTTTTACACATTTTTACAAAAATCAAATGAAATGAAAAAGAAAAAGAAACAGAAAAGTTCCTGTCGATTTGAAAGAAGAAAAAAAATATATGTATAATAGATTCCTTATCAATATAGAAGAGAAATACTCTTTCGATAATTTTCGAGTCTTCATTTAGAATATAGGTTTGCAAGAAATTGTATCTTGCAACTAGAATTTTTTTTATGTTAGAATTTTCTTTCGAAGAATTCTCTTCAGACCACATATGAAAGGATTAAGCTAAGATTTTATTTTTCTACGTAGATTTATTATCTTGCAACGCGTACACTTATCAACGATTTAAGTATCTGCAAAAGTTGTCAGCCAGAAAAAAGTAGTCTTATAACGTGTCGCTAATCTCGAAGTGAAAATTCTTCGCGTTTGTTCGCAGCGTAACAAAATTTTCACTTATTATTCCAGAACTAGGCATGAAGTAGACGTAGACATTGTCACGACGGTGTCGTGGCCGTTTCCGTCGTTCGTTATTTATATATATATATCCGGCAGATTAAATTTCGCGATTGAAACATGAATTTACGCTGCTTCCACGTGCGGCAGCAGGTAGAGTTACTCGTCGAAGACGGCCGCTAATTGCGACGAAGTACCGGAGAGCGGTCGAGGGCGAGAGGAGGGTCGTCGGGTTTGAACCGACGTGCTCGGGACGCACGTCAAACGGCGAAACTGGAGCAAGGCGACTCTCCAGCTGAAACGCAATCGCCGGGCGATCGTCGTCGTTCCTGTTCTCTCGCGCTCCTATGCACGTCATCGACGATAAGCGCGATTACCATTGTGTGTGCAGCGCGACGACGCGTTCCACAGCATCGCTGTGGTTTACGACGAAGCCGAGATAACTTTAGCTTGACAGACGTGGGAAGTGAGAGAACGCGAAGAGATCGATCGCGCGAACTCGAAGCGTGACTTCGCGAAAATCAATCGAAGAATGACAATACAGGATAATTAAAAAAAAATATTAATACTTATATGAAGTATTTCTTATATAAAGTACGCTTTACAGGGTATTTAAGAAAAATACTAACACTTATATGAAGAATTTCACGCAAAAAAATGTTAACACTTACATGGAGAAAAATTGCTTCCAGCTACATGGTGTTTAAAAAAGATGTTAACACTTACATTGGAGTAACTTTTTCTCAATACAAGTATCAGCATTTTTTTTTTTTTTTAACAAATTCATCACATAAGTGTTAACATTTTTTAAAGCATTCTGTAGATTAAGTGGAAAATGATAGAATAATGCAGGAAATATTTGCATATTGTCGGTAGTACGACATTTTAAAGTGTTGGATCGATGCAAAAGTTTTGCAGTACACTGAGAAAAAACAGGAAGCGTCGACGAGACAAAATCAATCTCGTGTAATTAAGTCGTTTTTGCGAACGCTGCGATTCTCCATTGACGTCAACGGCGGAGCGCATTTCGACGATTTACAGTCGCGATTTTGTGCCTCTCGAGAGAATAGAGTCGTCGTCGAGGAAGCGGCTGCTCGATTAAAATTAATAACGACCATTTTACAAATCTTCCGCAAACCGGTATCTCTTTCTCATTCGAGGCGAACACGACGTCTAAGAGAGACTCGTTAAAAACGCGACGATAATGACAACGTAACCGAAATGGCCATTCTTTTCTTTTCCTCTTTTATTTTTATTTCTGACCGTCTTCGTTATGATGCGAATCGCGTACACACGTGATTACGCGGTGTAATTTACGACACCGCGTTTACGCATCGAGAAACGTAACGATGACTTGTACAGCGGGTGACGCTTTTCAAGACCGGTATCGTGGGACGATTAGTATGCCCGTTCTGTAACTTTCTAACGACAATGTCGCTCACAGAATGGACACACGCGGACTCGATATCAGAGGTGTTAAATCAGACTCTTTAGAATTTTAAATGCGCACCGTAACTCGTCCTGCGCAATGCATAAATAATAAAAATCGAGTTTAAATAATAAAGACCGGGTCGTTTCAATAAAAAAACCAAGTGACCTCCGCGTTGTATCATTGTCTTTCATTATTTTATTCAAAGCTAACCAAACTACCCATGCCGTTAAATCTTGTTATTATTCGCTGCCTTTTATCATTGTTGCTTTTTTGTGTCAGCAGAATAACCAATGAAAATCACAGTCATTAACTCGATGAAATTTATTTCTTTTATTTACGGAGAGAAAAATTATCCCTTCACGGGATATAGAGCTCAATTACTGATCTACTTATATTAAGAAGTTTATCAATACTTAAGTCACACATAGTAGGAGACACAAAAAGTAAGGTGGTAATTATACACAAGTAAAAAGTACAAAAAAATAAATACATGAGCAAAGAAAAAAATGAGATATAATTATAAAATTGCACAGGTCTTTTTTGGAGCGGCGGGAAGGCAAAGAGGTATTTGTGACAAATTCGCGGATGTTAATCGCAATGAATTTTCGTCCGTCACTTTTCGCCAAGCCTGGCGGCGGCCGATGCATTATGTCGGCGTTGAGACGCAATAAATACCTCGCGCTATTTGCACGCGAGTTACGCGCATGCAAAGTTGGTTGGCCAACGTTGCTCTTACGTCATTAGTGGAAGCGGCGTCGCAATGCATGAATGTGCGTTTATAACGCGATGTGGCTCGTCATTGACCGGCGTAGGATTGCACGTTGATTCTACACGGTGCTCGAATTAATTCATATCTCAGCGCGAGAATAAAGTGTGTGTGTGTAAGAGAGAGAGAGAGAGAGAGAGAGAGAGAGAGAGAGAGAGAGAGAGACGCATAGATATATCGTGATTGATGATGATTGATTAATATTTTTCGTTTTCGCGACCGTCTGATTGAAAGGCTAACGATACTTCAGCGACGTTTCACAAATAGACATCGCTATTATCCAGTCCTCTCATCTTAATCAATATCGCGGCAATATCGAAATCTTATTCGAATCGCTCCGTACCGTGAGTTGTGAATCTCGCGTCACCGAGACAAGTCCATTCAGTTACGAAACGCGATCTGATTGCGCCGTTCGCGATTCGTTCGGATAAGAGAATCGCTTGATTAATGGGTCGGCCATGAAGGATCAACGAGACATGACACAATGTTCAAAATGCAATTATTTCCCCCGAGATATCGCGTCGCTCTATCACCTTATCTCAGATCTATACCTTGTTCATCGCTCACTATGCAAAGAAGTACATTTTTCAGATCAATTCTCAAACTGGTGATCTTACACAGAGAGGAACACATACCGCGTTCAAGTAAATGTTACTTGGTCCAAGTATTTCGTACGTTTTATATTCGCTGTCACAAGCTGATCATAAGCATCAGATCTATTCAATACTGAGTATAATTTTAAGACTATTTTTTATCAAGAAAATATTCTTTGCTGAAGATACCCACTACTTAAAAGAAGCGGGACAAACCGAATAATCGCTTTTCTTGGCAATTATATTTTGTCTGCGCGCTCACAGATCGATGTATTTGTGTTTTTGCAGGGTCTCCTGGATAAGTACCTGATCCCCAAGGCTAGCAGTGCCGAGAGTAAAGTATTCTACCTCAAGATGAAGGGTGACTACTACAGGTATCTCGCAGAAGTAGCCACCGGTGAAACCAGAAATAGTACGTATCGATCCTTCGTCGACACACGCCCGCCCAGGCAACTTCGTCGGGTGACTCTCGGGGAGATTGATCGAAGCGGGAAGGCCGATACGATATGCGACGATGATCATCGTATCGAGACTCTCCTCCACGAGTATCGACGCGAACGTCGATAGGCGGCAGGCAGGCGGGCCGTGACAAACGGCACCGTCTAAATTTAAATATTGCCGCATCGGGCTTTCGCGAAATTGCCGAAAGTTTCGCGAGCGTGCGACCTCTTCTCGCTTTCGATCACCGTTTCCGAGAGAAGAAGCGCGCGGTCGATGCAGCGGACGATGCTGCGAGTTCCTCGATACTTGGTGGGTACAGTCGGCTGATTAAGTGCAACGACATTTCTCCCCGACGAGTTTTGCAACGTATTTCGTGTTCAATAGGAAAATGCATCTCCTGAGAAGATGAATTCTCCTGTTGGACACAAGATGCGTTGCGAGACTCGAGAAAAAACGTTGCTACCTTTGAGCTTCCATTAGTTGCGGCTGTTTGGAGAAAGAAAAATGGAAATTTCATATATGAATATTTTATGAATTAAGAGGAAACTGCAACACTTTAGAAAAAACAGCTTTGTGTCATTCTTCACAATTTCAGGTAGTTATATTGAACAGGAAGATAGGATGTAGCGCGTATCGCTGCAATCCCCGTTTTGTTCGTATCATACTAAAACGAAGTCGCTCGGTATCTCTCAGATGTCTGTGACCACCGGAAGGTTAATCAGCCGACTGTACTTTCCTCGGTTGGCCGAGTTCTCGCGGCAGGCGCTCGCATGCGACGCAGCTGCATCGGCCGCGGCAGATGTTTTCCTCTTGACGTACAAGCGGGCGGATCCCTGGACGCTCGCGTTCACGAACGTCAAAAGTCAGCCGCGATCGCAGTTGTTTCACAGTGAAAGTCGGCTGCTCTCGCGAGGTGAAACTTGGCGCAAACTTTGGCCGCGCGAGCGCGACTTACTCCGTGATATTTCGCTAATATTAATTGTCCGCCTCGCTTTTTGTCATTTTTTACTCGGCCGCGGTGTGCTTGATGTTGAGAGCACCAATTGTCAAAGCTCTCGATATTTTCACAGAAAAATATCGGCTCAAATTCATCCAATATTAGATCCCGAATTGGTTGTTATCTCCCGTTAATTTCGAGCCTCGAACTAAAGCTATGCATTTTGATGAGAGTAGCGTGAAATTGCAAGTCCAGGGAATTGCAAATGTTCGTGTTTATGCTAAGCCGAGTTTAAATGAAAGCAGATGAGCTCGGAGATGAGCGAATACAAGCGCACAATATTTGCTAGGTATGATGACAAGTCTCTTACGTGCTGGCGCATCAATTGTAAATCCATTGTAATTTTCATAAAGTCTATATTTGACTCCAAGCGGCTCTTAAGCCATTCCGCGTAATTTAAATGTACGCTAAAAATGATAAATTATTACAGCTGTATTTGGGAAAGATGTCAACGTATTTTTTAATTATTTTGAAGAGAAAAATTATTTGAATTATCTGAAAGCACATAAGAGCAACGGAGCTGCATGAAACACGAGTAAGAACGACGAATCGGCGAACTATCCGGGAAATCGGTGAGAACAAGTTTTCACGCAAAGTTGACTTATTAGTCGACGACTCAGACTCGTCAGACTCAGATTAGATCTATAACGAGGAAACTTTCGTCGCCGTATCCGCGAAAGCGTGATGGATTCGCGTCGTTCAAAAGGGTTTCAAGCAGCTCTCGATAGGCACGAAGCAGCCGAAGCGTACGCACGTCTAGCTCGCGTCGCGTCGCGTATAACGCACAACCCGCTGATGTGTTCCACCCATCTGAATATCCAGCCGTGGTAGAGGACAGCCAGAGGGCATACCAGGACGCGTTTGAAATCAGCAAGTCAAAGATGCAGCCTACCCACCCGATCAGGCTAGGTCTCGCCCTGAATTTCTCTGTCTTCTATTACGAGATTCTCAACTCACCAGACAAGGCCTGTCAGCTGGCCAAACAGGTATACAACTGACGACGGGCTGCTTGATCGTTACTTTCAGCTATCTCCGCACGCGGAGATAAAGAAAAAGAGAGAGAGCTGATGCGCGGTGGCGATGATGGTGGTGCACAGTGGTGACAAAAGAGAACGAATTTACGGAGAGATTCACTACCGATACCCAAACGAACCACCCACCTTTGTCCTGTCAAAGATCTTTGTCCTACAAAGATCGGTATCTTCGCGCTTCGCGAAACGCTTCTCATCGGGCGAGCGTCTCGAATGCGTCTCGTGTGACAATCGCGACTTCGTAACTTGTTGCAAACTTGCTGTGGACCGGTGATATTAACGCGCGATATGGTAACCTACTTACCACTAAAGCTGCGCCAAATGATATTCCATTTAGAACCCGGTACAAGTAATCGTTATATCGAATAACTGACTGAAACCGATGAATCGGTTCAAGTAATCGTTTGAACAACGCGAAATGGTACTCCGTTCATTTGGAATATAACTGTGTAACAAATAAACGCAGTACTATCTCGCATAGTTTTACTCACTATTCAGAGAGATAACGATGAACTGACTGCCAGACAATGATAGAAAAGCACTTGAGAGAAAAGTACTTGAAAATTTTTACCTATGGAATACAAAGTTTATTGTGAGTATTTGATATCCTAAAATAAACTTGATGTCCTAAAATAAATTTTCAAGTGCGTGGAGAAAAAGAATATTTGACGACGTAAATTTGTGGGACGTAAATTTTATTTATAGTAATTAATTTTATTTCACAGAAATAGATCCCTTTAAATAGATCCTACAGACAAATTTTCAATATTTCTTTCCCAGTATATTTCTTTATCATCACAACTCGTTAAATTCGTCACTTCAGATCGTTGTAGCGACACGCAAACTATCGGGCAATTTGCATCTTGATGCAGACGCGTTCGGCTGTAAGCGGTCGAGATTCGCGAAAAGAAATAAAGATATCGTAAAAGTGGTTCGCATTTAAATCTTTAACAATGCCTGGACCATCGTACTTGATTCATGCACCGTGCTGCATGACTCAGGACGACGAAGACCGCGGCTCGCACGCACGTCAGCGGTCGCAGCACATCGTAGAAGATCAGCGACGATTTATGGACTCGGTCCGTTCAAGGACGACGATGTTCGCGAGTAAAACGGTACGGCCGCCGCCGTCGGCCGACTAGTCGGTCTTTGTAGGACAGACGCGAGGGGAATCGTTGAAACTCGCACTCCCTCGTTCGCCCGCGTTTTCCCTCCCTTTATTCAACTTTCGTTCGCCTTTTCTTTCCTCCTTGCCTCGCGCGCGGGCGATTTATTACTACGGTGGTTATGCGGCAGAAGGGAAAGAAAAGAGAAAGAAACGAGGTCGTGGAAGGTGTAATCTGAATAGAGGTTGATTTGCATTGCAGCGGTAGTCGAGGATTCGCAGAAGGCGTACCAGGAGGCGTTTGACATTGCGAAGGCGAAAATGCAGCCTACGCACCCGATCAGGCTCGGCCTTGCCCTCAACTTCTCCGTTTTTTATTACGAAATTATAAATTCCCCGGCTAGGGCCTGTCATTTGGCCAAGCAGGTTAGAGGCAGAACTGTGAAGAGTTCTTGCGCTTGTTTTTCACCTCCTTATTGGAAACGTCCTCAATTAACCCTGTGATGTGTGTCGTCACGTCGGGGACATGTCGCGCGTTGATGTATGATTCCGGCGGTTTGAATTGCTGCGTGTGCATAGAGTGTGCCGCTTAACCACCTTCTTTATTCTCGAACTCTTTTACTAATGCGTGTGTGTTTAAGACTGATGTCTCCACTGGTGCCGCACTAACTACCCCGCATCGCTCTCTACTCACGTATTTAGTACTCGCTAATAACAGTTTGATTACTTGCATTTTAATACTCTTTAGCTCTTAATTGCAAATAAAGTTGTCCTGTTCGTTTGATCAAGTTTTGCATAATCGTACTTCAATAGTTTGAGAATTTTAGACGTTATTGTCACGATTAACAACGATTATCTTTCTGATAATTTCAATTTTCAATTCTTGGAAGTGCAAAAGAAATGCAAGAAAGCAGACTACTAAGGAGAGAGGAGTAGCCGCTGATCTGTTTGCCATGTTTTCAGGCGTTCGACGATGCGATCGCAGAGCTGGACACACTTAACGAAGACAGCTACAAAGATTCCACGCTGATCATGCAGCTCTTGCGCGACAACCTCACTCTGTGGACCAGTGACACACAGGGCGACGGGGACGAGCCACAGGAGACCGGCGACAACTAACCTTCCTAAGCTTAAGTCCTTTCTAAACCTAATAAGAACATCCTATTCTCTATCGTCCCCCCGTCCCCCTGAAGTGCTCACCCATGTCCATCCACCCGATCCATCCATCCATCCGCCTGTCCTCTCGTCCCTCACGTACCTCGATTCCTTCTGCCTTCCTTCCTGTCGCAGTTACCCCTTCTCCTGGAATCTTTTCACTTCAAAAACTGATCCTTCTTCACTTCTTATTCTCTCTCTCTCTACCTCTCTTTCTCTCTATCTTTCTCTCTCTCTCTCTCTCTCTCTCTCTCTTTATCCTGACACGATCGCACACTGCTGCCGATACAACCGCCACAAGCTGCTACGCCCGGTTCGAAAAACTCGAATGTTGAGAACCCCGAACAACCCACCCACGCTCGACCGTGTCCGCCCTGCGGATGATGACCGGCGTTGCTTTCCGGGGAAGGATGTTTCTTAAAGATTGAACCTGGACACGCGTACAGAACATTCGCGACAGAGAGAGAGAGAGAGAGAGAGAGAGAGAGAGAGAGAGAGAGAGAGAGAGAGAGAGAGAGAGCGGCTCTCCTGTATTTCACCGTCGCGGGAATTGGATCATACTATTCTTCATCTGCTCGGAGTAGACGGGAAGCGGCTAAAACGTGTTCGATACATTCGTATTGTACGCGACAGGAGAATAATAATAACAATGCAACGGCGGATTATTGAGATGAGACCGGCACAGTCGAGCGAACCGTGTGGATCATTCGGTCTCTCTGGCACTTCGAAGTTTCTCAGCAAAAAATATAAAGTCCGTATTGACCCATTTGTACGGAGGAACAGGAAGGAGCGAATTGTGGATGAACAGAGGAAAGGACAGGAGGAGACATATACAACAAATCCTCCCCCGCATACCCTGTCTCGTCGACACGACTCTTAGTCGCGCGACGCCGCCGAAGGCGTCCGCGCGAGAGCGCGGCACACACTTCGGGTGACGAACATCGGTAACGCACATCGCAAGAAAAAAAAAAAAAAAGAAATAACGCAAACAAGCTAGATTGTATTATTCGGCTTCGCGAGTAGAAAACAAAAAAAAAGAAAGTTATTACACACTATATGAAAGGTGAAAATCACGTTGGGACGAGACACGGAATGCAGAGGATGTTACAAAAGAGACCCACTGTCATTACTCCCAGAATCTGCTCGCTGCTTACCATCTAAAGAAACAAAAAGAGTAATAAGGCTAGAACGAAGGGGAAAAATGAGAAGGAGGCTACAGACGAAAAGAGAGATTAGCGCGATGGTTTCGAGAAGATGCGAAGAGAACGAGAAAACCGAAAGAAAAGAAAAGCACGCATGAATCTACTACATTATATCCAGTTGTCATTTAAATTAAATTTCACATTGTCTAGTAAGTACGAATATTATTATACGAAGGGAAGAACGTAGGAGGAGAAAGGAGAGTAAAAAAAAAACAAATACATTAAGTTATTAAGTTCCAAAACGACATCAGTGGTGACTTGATTTTTACACTCTCGCTGGTTCGTTTTCTCTGTTCTTTCTTTTGTCTTTTTTTTTTTACTTTTTCTTTTCTCTCCGACACGCCTCCACCGACACCACCACCACACAACCATCACCATATTGCACACGCGTATACAATTCAGATATAATAAACATCTCCTCCCGAGCGGATTCCTTCCTCCTTTTTCCTTCCGCCGCGACCGAAGAAAACTTTGCGGTTGTCTCGCTCTCGTTCCTAGATGAATTCGCAGAGTCGCGTGCGGCGACAGTCTGGAGGTTAATCGATCCTAATCTTCCTCCCTACATTATAGTGCGACCTGTAATTTAGACAGGGAAGATCGGACCGATCAGGGGCGACGAACGGGCGCTCGTTTCTCACTAGTGGACAACTGCTCCATCAAGTAGTCTGCTAATAATTACTCTCATTATTTGTAATCTCGTTGTAACGCAGAGCGAAGGAGCGCGCCTATCTCGCCGCTCTGCTCGTCGCTATCCGCCGCCAGTTCTTCGCGTAGTCGTGCAATACCGATCGCGGAAAAAGGAGGACGGGGATGACACGCGACGTTCCGTTTCTTCATCTGGTCGAGCGCAGAGATCGCACACACATACACATATGTATAATCACACGTGGTTACGCGAGATTACATAAGTCTCGATTCTGACGTCCAAACTTCCTCTCGCGCACCCTCTTCGATCGCGCTCCTCGTCTCTCTTTTTCCCTCTCTCTCTCTCTTTCTCTCTCTCTCCCTCTAATATATTATACGCGATATATGTATATATATACACATATGCCATACACACATATAGATATATATACATATAATGTATATATATAATGTGTATATATATGTATATATATGTATCCATCTACCACATGTTCTTAGTGAACTAAGATATCGCGATCGAGAAGAACGGAGAGAGAGAGCGTAAATCGTATGTACACATTACCACACCTATTTAGACGTATAGTCGCATACTTACTTTCGTCCGTGATGAACGTGATGTTCATTGGTAAGAATACGCAATGGGTGATATTAATTAACAATAATGTCGCTTCTCGAGAAATAGCGTCGTACAAGCTCGAATATCGAGGGCTAATATTCGCCGGTCCTTCCATAAGATCCTATGAATCCGGTGAAGGTACACGCGCATCGAACGAAGTCTCGGTAAATCCTCGAAAGGATTACATCCGCACGCGCAATCAACGATCGGATTGCGAGATCGGACGAGACAGTCTACTCACTCGTATCGCGTCTTCATATCGTAATGGTCAACGCGAAACTTCGTTCGACATGTACCACATGCATCGCAGCTCGTGCACGCAGCGCGACATATGCGAGCACTTTGGTCGTTGTCCTGACGTTTCCCCCAAATATCTTATTCCATTTGAGCGAGAGCCGCAGAAACTCTAAACGGGAGGTCAAAGACTTATCCGAGCAGAATTCTTCGTCACGCATTCGTAGGACACCATCCAAGAGGAAGATTTCGTAGATATTTCAAAAACTCATATGAGCAAACGGGGAGCTGAGTGCCTCCTCGCTCTTCTCATATATGTATGTATAATCAAGCAAATGTGTATAATACGCACGTGCTGAAATTAATACATATACGCTGCAGACTTACATGTACGCACACAATATATACATACATACATACACACACACATATATATATATATATATATATACATGCATGCATACACAAAACACATGCATAATATAATATCGTTAACGGGAGACAGAAAAGTTTAAGCAGCAGGTTAGTCGCTAATTACACGTGAATGGGTAAACGTTTTCCTGTTGTCGTGTTGATATTTCTCGATGTATAATCGGTAGTTACTGTCTCAACAGCGAAATTGTCCGAGAAGTCGCCCCGCCGCCGCCGCCGCCGCCGCGGAGCCGGGAAAAGGGAGAAAAACGCACACGCGTGAGAGTAATATCATTCCGCACGTCGGACATTAGAAACGAAGAAGCGAGTGAGAAAAGAGGAAAAGTAAGAAAGACACGAGGGTGAGACAGACGCAGAGTCGGGAGAGACGATGGAGCAGCGAGAACGTCCGGACGGCGACTCCTAAACCGCCAATCCTTCTTGAGAACGGAAGCGAGAGAATGTAACTTGTGTGATTGAAGCCTCGCTCTAACCCATTGCCGATATTCATTTCCGTTTGCTTGACCGCAACGTGCGCAGGACGTAGAGAGAAAGAGAGAGAGAGGAAGAAAGAAAAAGAGCAAGCCGTCTGCTTCACATCCTGGCACGTCTACGTCCTGCGTTTTGCGTCTGCAAACGGGGCCTCGGGGTCGAGACGAGACGAAATGAGATACGAAAGAATAAGATACGAGCGACAAGGAATATGTGACATGTGTCGATAACGGAACGGGAGCAACCGGTCGGCGGGGAAGATCCGAGCGAACGAGAGAAATTCCATGAAATCACATGGACAAAACATCGTGCTTAGTTGCAGAGATAAAGTGAAGATAAGAAGATACAGCGCGTTGCGTTCAGCGGCACGCAATCGCTTCGTAGCGAGCGTTTAGCAATAACCCGCTGAAATGTGACCTGAACAAAATAGCGGCAACACATCTATCGGCGAGCTGAGGATACGCCGTGTACTAAGCGTGACCTTTGAAGTGACAAATTCAATTAATTCAGTCAGCAGAGTTGCCAATATGGAAGACAAGATATAATTTGTTATTGAAACATGCGACAATATTATCTTGTTCTTTTTTTAGAACTTGTGTTTCAAGTTGCTATTAGAGTCAAGTATTTGTCTTATTTTGTCCTTACTTTTTTGTCTGATCTTAATATCTGTATGATTTCCTCAGATGAAAAATTGTACAAACAGAAACTGCTGACAATCACGTCTGTTAATTGTCGATTAGTTGAATCAGAGTTTAGTGAATGTCATCCTTGTGCTCATTTCTGCCCAGCGTTGATTAAACCTTAGCCTGAATTTCAGTCCTTGTCTGAACAGAGTGTAGACTAAGATTAAGGTTTAATCGACGCTGGCAGAGACGAGCATTAGTCGAATAATCGTTTGTTTAAGCATGTGTGTTGGCATAACGACATCAGCTCGAGAGAGCGCCCGGCAGAATGTTTCAACAGCTCGCTGGGAATGCGTCGCATCGCTAATCGCTCACGAAGCGCTTCGTCCGGCTGAATGCGGCCTTGAATGTATTCTGAATAACAGCGAGTCGGACTCGCGTTTATTTCTTGTCGCCTGTATGTTATCCTTACATTTCGTCGCGAAGAGAGAGACCCAAGGCCGAAGAGTCACATGTTGAAGGGTGCGGACAGGTACCTCCTCCCCATCCTTCCTACCTCCCTTCCTTTCCGGAGAGTTCTCGATGAACGTTCAACGAGGGCTGGCTGGCCGGGACTGAGCGGATGTATGTGTATGCACGAAAAAAGAACTCCAGTTTGGGTAATTGAATGAAGACCAGACGAAAAATTCGCCAACGAGAATTAAAGCTCTGTTGACGCAACTCAGAACAATTGGCTAAGTAGAAACCTCCTGCAAAAATCTCAGTTTCTACAACAAAGTTTTTTATCTGGTCCCCGAGCAACAGAAAATTCAGTTATACTAACGGAGTTGTTTTGTTTGTGTGTCATATTGTGTGTGTGTGCGCTAGTGTGTGTTGAGAGGTGGTAGGATATGAAGGATGCATCACGCGTCGGAGGATAGTGTTATCGTCGATCTCGACCTCGCGCAGTGAGCTCTCTTCGAATGTACACGGTGAAAACAATTTCGTTAGTGTAGCTGAGTTTTCTGTTACCTGACGACCAGACGAGAAACTCGATTGTAGGACCAGAAAGATCGCTGTAGGAGGTTTCTACTCAGCCAATTGTTCTCATCTCAATCAAGATTTTAACGCAACTGAATGCTCAGGTAAATCTCAGTCACGATAACAGAGATATGATTCCTTATCAGCGAGTTTTTCGTCTGGTCCCTGTTCAGTTACACGAACTAAAATTCTTTCGCCATGTATCATTCTCCTGCTCCTCTCTTTTCATCTCATCCCATCCTCTCTCGAGGCTACTCTTGTTTTCCCCACATTATCGTCCTGCACCTTCGGCTCTCTTTCCTCTTGAGTTGACTTCTTTCCGAACAAGTTTTCCCCGATCCTCTGAACCTCCTCTTCCTCCTCCTCCTCTTTCTTCCTCTATCTTTCCTGTCGATCCACACCAGTCGTCTCTCTGATTCCGACCCCTTGAATCTTAACATCTTGTGTTCTTTTCATTTTTTTCTGGATATTATGAATTTTCCAAAATAAACGTTATGTTTTTTTAATAACACTGGCAGTGACTTTACTCGGGAGAGACACCGTCGTCTTCACGTCGTCGTCACCGTCATCATCATCGTATCATCCTTCATCTTCACCTTTGTCGCCGACGTCGTCGTAGTCGTCCTCATCGCCATCCGAGCGGCTTCTCCTTAGCGCATGATTTCTCCGCAAAACCTCTTTTCCCGCAATCTTCGAACCGCAATTCAAGGTACATTCTACTTTCTCCTCCTTTTTCTTTCGTTTTTTTTTTTTTTCGGCTCTTGCTTTCTTTTCCACCCGACTACCTTGAATTTCACACGCGAGGCAGCGTCTCAGAGATCGGCTCGCGCCGACCGCGATTGCGACGCAGAGCACGTCGCGTACGTCGATGAACGCGAGAAGAGCGGCGTAGGGTGCGTTGTTCCGATCACGTGGATTCACGGGGCGACCCTCGTCGTTCCCCGGCTAATCCTTCCCTCAGGACAACCTCCTTCGAGGCCGTTCTTCACGGAAAGCCGCGCAACACCGACCGTCCCGTTCTCCTCCCACGTGTCCGTTCTTTCCGCTTTCCCCTCCCCTCTCCACCCCCTCTGCTCTATACTCTTCCTCGCCCCCGTCCCGAATTACGTTGTTCTATTTGTATTTATCATCAGCCCATCGTAATTGTAAATTATAATTATTATAAACGTTTACACGAAATAATAAATTCTGATAAAATATCTGAGAAAAACCATAATCCCACGGCTGTGTGTCTTGCTTGCTTTGGCTGCGACGACAACGGCACCGTGTCGGAGGACGCGCAGCGTGTGCGTTTCACATGGAGACGCCGCGATCCGCGCGATCGTCGAAAAACGCTCGGGATCGAAGTCGAAATTACACTTCGACACGATCTTTATCATCGCGATTCGCTATCACCGATTCGCCGTCATGGACGAGAGACGCGTCGCTGATATCGGCTCGAAGTGACGACTTCCTCGAGTTCGGGATCCACGCCGTGGCGAGATTCGTGACGTTTTTAGACGTCTATCAGCAGCATATCGCAACTGGAAGATCTGGTCGTTTTCTGAATATGCCTAAACCGTGACGTTTGCGAGGTATTTGTTCATTGTCCTTTGCCTCTTATTGGAAATGTCATTACCTTCCCTTTACACACGCGAAAGAACGTGACGTGCAATTTACCGCATCGTCGTAATTGCGCCCGATGTAGATCGCAGTGAAAATCGTTCCTCCGGGGCTCTTGATATCGCAACGACGAGAGTGGAAATGATATTTGAAGTAACGGAGAACAAAGTACAACTTTCACATCGCAGAGTTACATTCGCGCACGCTTTTAGTTTACTCTCATGTCGCGAAATCGTATTTGAACACCGCCCGACGTCGTAGAATGATATTAATACGTCACCGGCCTCGATGTGCCATCACTCGCGACTTCAACGGCTCGCTCATCCAAGGCTTTTCGCGGCAGCTCGTGCGACGATAAAATAATTAAAACGAGAGACACAGAGAGAGAGCGAGAGAGAGGGAACAAGAGAGAATAAAGAAGAGCGAGAGAAAGAGAAAAAAAGAAGCAAAGGAAGTAGGGACTGCCGAGAAGAAACCAAGGCGATTCGAAAGAATAAGGACAATGCATCGTTCGATATAGTCGAAGTTCAGCAATACCGAGAGATCGAGAGCAGGCAGGAACACGCGAAGACTTTTTCATGCACTGAGAAAAGAAAACTTGAAAATTTGCTCTTGTGGGATACAAAGTTCATTCGCAAAAATCAATTTTGTTTCACAGAAATTAATTGTACACTCCACAAATAAATTTTCAAGGGTTTTTTCATGTGTACCTAGGACGCGAAAAAGAATATTCATTATGATTGCTATTATGGGTATCATTGTACTAGGTGTATATTCCCCGCCCTTGTCCCTTGACCTTCTTCGCCGTATCCGCCCGTTTCCCCCCGTACCTCTGTCCGGCTCCTGCGTCCCCATGTTTCTTGTCGATGGTATATCCACACATGTACTTGGTATACACGACTTTTATGCATTATGTATACATACATACATATATATATATGCATACACACGAACGGGGAGAGACACGGTAAATACGCGAGGTATATATATATATATGTACGTGCCTTTTCCGACAAGAAAGGCCTACCTAACTACGATTAATCATGCTAAATTTTTTGCACAATTTATACGTGTAGCTGATATCGAAGATACTCGAAGAAATACGGTTTTTTGCTAACGAGAGTAGCGCGAGAAAATTACTTAAACGCGAAGTGACGACGAGACGCGAGATGTCGAACACGCGGGGAGACGCGAGGAGAACAAATTCACGAGAAAGAGAGAAAAAAAAGATGAAAAAGAGAAATTCCGAATCGCGTGACGTTCGCGAGACGTCCGAGACTCCTCGGTTGCACCAACGAGGACTAACGCTAATTACTGGAAAATACGTCAATTTAGTTCTATCTATTGTACACTCAAAAAAATAATCTCGCGGTCGTAATGAGCTAGATGCGAGAAATTAGCTTAGATCGGTATAAATGACACTGCGATATCGCATGTTTTGTACTTAATCAATACAGTGAGTGTAAAAAGTATTCGTACCAGAGATTGTCTTAACAAAGACTTGGTGTACGAATATTTTTTACACTCACTGTATGACAGGGACAGAATTTCTATCTGAACTATTTGTGAAATTGAACAAGAAAGCTTCTCTGTGGCGTCCATACAGATTAAAGTCAGTTACACTTCTTCTGAAAATTGTCTGTGGTAGGCAAGAAAGATTAGCGACGCGAGACAAAAACAAATGTATAATCCTTATGCTCACTTAAACTCGCTCACAGATATTACTGAAATACTGCTACCGTAAACTCTACGTACCACAGGCAATTCTCTAGCAGATACAGAAAACAGCGATACATTTTAACTGTGACATTTAGTTTTCTACTTGGACCAGTAAAACAATTCTTTTGAGTGTATACAAGAGGAAAAGGAAAATCCACGTGGACGAGTAATGTAGAGCAAATTTTTCAAACTCGTCTTCGCACACCGTGGCGAACGAGAAACCCCGTCAGTTAGAATTAGCATGAACGCGCTGAAGTCACGTTGCTGCAGCTGTTTCAGACCGAGTTACACCGACGATTCGAATTAACGAGCGCAGAGATGAACGATCGACCGTCTCTGTCGAAGTTGGGAAGATCCCATATCCACGTGGATAAAGGGTCAATGGTATCTTAAGCGCGGATCGACTCGCACTCGCAGTAGTTGAATTGAGATTCTCTCTGTCTCCTTTTAGACAGCTAGACAACTCGTAGCACGGCTGGCTATAATAATGCGGACTGCGGCGGACGGTTAAATCGACTACAATTAGCGCTAATCGACGTCGGTAGAATCGGCTCGGGGTGGATCTATTAATAGAGATGGTCTCAGACGTGCGACTGGGCCCGAAAAATGATCCGTCGAGCGCGTGTTCGGACGTTTTTCGAACACCTCTCGCAGGTTCGCGCCGTGCGGACGGTAGAAGACGCGGAAGCGCGAACAAGAGGCTATCCGGACAGCACAAACTTCTGAAAGACGTCTAAGAAAATGAGATGTCTTTAAGACGTTCTAGAAGGACTCGGATTACTGAGTTTAGTTTAATTAAATTAAATCTTCAAATTGCATTGTTCAATTTAATTAAACTAAATTCTAACTCTAAAAATTCAAGTTAAATTATTCAATTTAGTTTTAAATTATATAAAAAAATAATGATTAAATCAATCCAATTCCTTCTAAAAAAATATGTTTTATAAATGTCTTAATTAAGCATTTTTAAGGTGTATGAAAGATGTTTGAATTAAGTGGATTGATTAAATGGATTAGCTGTCTGGGTAGAGATAGAGACGTGTAGGATCAGAGCGAGTTTCAGCCCGCGGTCAGGTCGCGACACTTTCGACCTCTCGAAAGTCGCTGGTGGCTTGTGACACGGAAAGCGCGGTGAAGACGTCGTGGAAAGCTCGCAATCGCGACTAGGGATTTCGGAAGGGCGAACGAGAGGCCAAGGAAGGCGAAGAGACGGAGAGTTCCCCGCCTGAGAATGCGTGGGAACTTACCGCGTCCAAGACGAGATTGAGTCCCTGCGTTTAAGTGTAGAATATCATTTTCGTGCGGTAGACGAGCTCGCGGCGTAGACACTCCTAAGGATATCGGCGGCAAAATCCGACAGAGACTGTCCGATTTTGTTGAGTTCGCGAGAGCTAAAACGCGTTGAGATTTCGAAAGTTCTCTCCTTGGTGAAACTTAATTTTTCTCTGAATGTAGTTGACTGGCAACCCTTCTTTCATGAAAGTAGAGAAGCTCGTCTGTACGCAAATGGCGCATTCTACTCCGATATTTTTCACGTTTCCTTCGCAAAATGATCGTCGTAAGCGTGTCTAAAGTTACATCAAATCGCGCTATCGTTGCTTTGGCGCTCATGGGATCGTGTGTTGCGTCAGGTGTCTGCTTGATGCAATATACGATTCTATGAGCGATATTGCGTCAACCTGCTTCCAGCTTTCATCGTATTCACACATGCTGACCCTCCTCCGTGAAATTAAATTCAGTATCTCGATCGACAAGACCGTTTGTCTTCTGTCCGGAATTTCCTTTTCTCATAATACCGGAGAGTATTCGGTCTTGTGGATTTTGTCGCCACGTAAGCCTCTCTAGAACGACGGTTTTCCTCGGTTTCGCTCTTCTACGATTGTAGCCTGTTTTTAGCTATCACCCGACCTCGCCCCCAACCCTGCCCCTCCCGAACCCCCCTCAATCGATATAGATCAATGCCGTTTCAATCGAATATATTACACGTTAAATGGATTAACAAAAAAGAGAAAAAAAAAGAGGAGAAAAGACGACGCTGATTTGGCGGGGTGATGTTTGTAAATAAATCTGTAAAACGACGAACGATGCAATCATTTCCACCCACATCAATCACCGCGTCGATGCCGATACAAATCTTTGAAAGGTAGTACAGTATATTTGTAATTTTTCTCCAGATTCAGACTGTAATTCAACTGACATTCGCTACCTCGCTTCGTGACGGACGAAGATCGCACTGTCTGTCACGCAAGAGAGTAATCCATCAGCGATCGAAAGCCCATTCAGATGACAGCCGATCGATCATTCCGACGTGCTCGCTACTTACAATTGATTTTTGCTGTCTTGCAGCATTCGTAGCAGCAAAGCGACGAACGTCTGCCCAATAATACGACGACGTTTCGTCCGAAACGATTGCTCGGTGATCTCCGGAGCGAAGTTCACTGGTGTTTCCAAATTTCCTTTACGAGGAGTCTCTTTTCCTCTTTTAGGCGCCAAATTTGCATGAAATGTGCGTGTAAAGTTTCTCATCGATTGCAAGGAGAACGCCTTGCGTCACGCACTCGCAAATTGCACTTCGTCCTGGCTACGAGCGGCACGTATTTGAGCAGAGTCCTCCGTTGCGGTCGTCACGTGGAACTTTGCCTTGACTACGAGACTCGTGGCACGTATTTGAACGGAGTTTCTTGCCTCGTGACTGTTCCACCAAAGTATCTCGTTGAGACGGAACTTCGACGGCCAACCACGAAATGCTGCCACAGCGAGAAGCACTTTGTATATCCCCGAGGAACTTACATCTGTCTGTCCAGGAATAGTTGAACGACCATCGAGTTACCAAAGTTATAATCTAACAGTGTTATTAACCGAGGATCGTATCGAGCTTGTTTTGAGTGACTGCCTTTGAGTGTTTTGTAGTTGCAAATATAATTCGGACAGGAACACAGACGTTATCAGGAATATATATATCGTCTGAAGTGAACTTACCGTATTTTATTTTTCACACGGGAGAAAGATCGAATTAAGAGGGAAGGAGATCGATCAACTGGTCGCACGACCAGTTTTATCTTTCAATCTTCATTATCGTCTCTCGTGCAAATTAATCGCTGATCGATTGTAGTTTTCACTATGTCGTCGGTTTATCGGTTGCAACGAGGATGCGTGCGAACGTACCAAACTTATCATTTGTACGTCTCATGGTCAGTAGCTCAAACGATTTTCAATGATTTAAGCATTACTCATTATTGGGATGATCTTTATTGTTTTTAAAAAAACAAAAATCCCTTCTCTCTCTGATAGCACTCTGTTCGTATAAAGAGCCTCTGGACTCTTAATACAAGTCAGATTTCTTATCGCCGGTGGCAACAAGTGGACGACAAATAGCTGGCGACAGAATATCGTTTATTCGTGTATCAACGTTATCATCACGTGCACGGTGCTTATGAGGAATACGCGAATCTCTCAACTGCAATTTCTTTTGAAAGCGTCGGAGGAAACGCCATGCAATCTCCCGATTCCCAAGAGCAAACTTCAGGATGGGTAAGTTAAAACGTGAAACTGCTCATCTCGTCCATGATCATCACTCAGCTGCACAAATTTTTAAAAGACGTTTAAGGCCCGTATGAGTAATTGTTATTTAAAATTCGTCTCAAATAAGATATTCAGATTTGAGTTCAGAATTAGATGAGAGATTTTTCAGTTGAGCCGTGATTACAGATATGCAAGTGACACATCATAATTTAGTTGAAAAACTTTGTTCTAATCCTAAACAAAAATATGAGTATTTCACATATGAGACACGTTTCAAATGACAACTATTGATATGGACTTAAGAAAAATAGTACAGCTTTTAGACGCCTTTTAGAAGTTTTAGAAGTTTTCAAGAATTTGAATCTTTTAAAAACTGAAGACACCTAAAAAATAAGACGTCTTTCAGACATTTTTAATCTATTTAAAGAATTTTTTAAAATCAGAAGAGAAAATTATTTTATATTTCGAAGTGACATAAATATGATAAATCTGTCAATTATGCAACGAGTTTCTTTTTTCTTGTGAAATGTGTTGTAGTAAATGTTTCTACACACAGCGCTGTCTATTATAATTTCGTCAACATTGTTCGAATAAAACAGAAAAATTAAATTTATCTGAACATATACATGTCAGTACTCCTGAAGAGATTAAGATATCTTTAAGAAGCATAAAAGACGTCTAGAAGAATAGAACGTCTCTTTAAGATATTTTTGACAGTTTAGAAGATGTTTATAAAAATAAGACATTTTCCAGATGTCTTTTGGAACCTTAAGAGACATTTAAAAAATAAAACGTCTTTTAGGCACCTTTAAGCTTAATCTACAAGGTGCTCTTTGCTTTCTGTTTCTTGTTCTCTGTCTTTTTTTAGTTTAAGGCTTAAGGTGTGAGTCAGAAAGAGATAAAGAAAAAAAAAAACAAGAAGCAAATAACACATTGTAGATCAAGCTTTAGTCTCTTCAGGGACGAATTACAATTAAAAGAATATAATCTTATTTGAATGAATTGAAAGTGACAGAAATATGACATCTGTGTTATATGACGAGATTTTTCTTTCCTTTGTGCAATTTATGATGAATATTTATTCATGCTGTCCATTATAACTTTGTCGACATTCTTCGAGTTAGAAAAGAAACATTGAACTCTTACTTGAGCGTACATGCGTGTATTAATATTCCTGCAGAGCTTGAGACGCCTTTTAGAAGTGTCAAAGACTCCAGGAAAATAGGAGATTTTTCCACGTCTTTAAAACGTCTTCCAGAAATTCGTACTGTCCGAGAAGGTGAACGAAATCGTCCGCTCTCCGAACGCGCGACAAGAAGATCGCCAAACCATGACTCACGCGCGCGCGCGCGTCCCGCCATTTTGGAAATTGCACGAGCTGTCGAGATCTCGTGGCACTCGAGTTATCGATATCTCGTGGCACTCGAGCTATCGATATCTCGTGGCACTCGAGCTATCGATATCTCGTTGCGCGCGAGCTATCGATATCGCGCGGCGCGCCTAATTCGAAGTTCGAGAGCGGCGCGCCATTGGTCGATCGCGATTGGTCCCGCCGGCAGCTGGGCCAAAAGGTCACCTTCAGAGTAGGACGTCGAACGTCGTGACTGCGGCGGGCGACGTCGGTCAGAGGTTCGTCGGCGCTCATCGAGTGCGGAAGGATCGTCGCCGTCGTCGCGCTCGTCAGTCAACCGCGTCTCCTTCTCCTTGGTGAGTCGAAACACTCGGTCGATCGATCGACATGCCGATCGCCGTCGCGGCCGGGCGCGCGCTTCACGACGACAAGGACTATATCCCGACGACGACAATCCGTCAAGCGCGGAAACGCGAGTTCCTCGTTCGCGGCGTGTCCAAGTTGACTTACGTACACATTGCCGAATCGATTGACCCTCGTTCTACGATTTTCCTGTGGACGCGACGCGGAGGTGCTCGTGAGTTAACCTGTCTTCTCGTTCTCAGCCGGAGAAACTCGCCACCGCTTGCCTTCGTGTGAGGATGAGCGATCATTCAGTCGCGGGCGAGGTCTCGTCGCGGTGATTTCACGCTACGACTCCTGCTGCGAACGGCAAGGTCAGGGGTTCAACACGACGAACGACCGAGTCGCGTCGTCGAGAGCGATATGCCCAGGACAGAACACGATCGATTCCCTCGTTGCTTTCGCGCCTCTGGTCAGACGAGTGGGACTATTACGGTTAATCCAATTATCGCAGGCGCCCATCACGTGCGGATTATGTGTGTCACGACGAGCGCGATGGTGCGACCGCGGTCGTGTCCGTCGCGCGTGATCGCGAGGAACACGACGACGTGTGCGGCTAGAGAACTCGTGATCGAGCTGCCATGGTGACGCGACTTGTGCAAAGTTCCCATTCAGTCAAGTGCCCGGTGAATTACTCTCGCTCGAGTGCCCGGTGAATTACGAGAGTTTGGCTGTAAATTGGAACGTCGTCGTCGTCGTCGTCGTCGTCGATGAGTCGGACGGAAAAAGCCCGCATCCACCAGCGATAACTTTGCAACACGTACAGCACACACACGCCTCAGCGTTGTTTACGCCTCGCGTTTTGATACGCGGCCAGATCTCGCTCGCGCACGTGTTATTTAATTTTATAATGCGAAGGACTGCGACCAGAGAGTCCCGCGCGTGTCGCAACACGCACTTCGGTAATTCCTGCCCGCCACGTCAAGGTACCCCTCGTGTGTTTTTGTTTCTCGATTGGAACGTCGCGAGAGATTTTCAAATTGCAGAGTCTCGTGATGCGACGCGAAATGCATTCCAGCTATGGTTCTCTCATTGGTAGCGAAAATTGGAAATTGCGGATTCCAACGTAATGACAGATTCATTAAATCTTGTTCACTGTGAGGAGTTTCATTAATGTCTTGCACACTGTGAAGAATAGTGAGTGATAAAAATGACAGAATTTGACAAGTACTTTGCATAATGTGCTCCATTGTTCTGTTTTTTTCTCTTTGCACTGAAGTAAGCTTAGAGCAACTACATGTGTAATTTAAGTCTTCTGGAGTAAGGTTAAATTCATATCAGTCAATGTAGCAATTATCCTGAAAATTGGTTCATATAGCACGTCAGGAAAATGTTTCAAGATTACAGATCTGTTCTGTGTCATTGCACAGATGAGGATGACATGGAAAATCATGTAGAGAGCAATAGTGATCTGGAATATGCTCCATATACATGTGACAGCGTCACTGTTACCAGTAGATCTTTATTGGAATCCAGTATGTGTGAGCATTATTCAGAAAAGTCTCTTGTTGCTAAAGTTCTGAGGGACATTGATGCAGAGAGAATGAACAGAATTAGTCTGCAAAATATCAAGCTTTCCTTGATATTTCCAGAGGCAAGCTTGCAATATTTTCTTTTATTTTCTTTTTTGTTCTTATCTGAAGTTTATACAAAATAAATGCTGGCAAATTTAATTTAAATAGATGTTTGGGAAGAGCAAGATCGAATCAAGCAAACACTCACTGAGTAGCTCTTCATTTGAGATAGAATTCAACATGCTAGAAGAAGAATATAAAACCACAAGCCTGCGCTTTCCACGCTCTATGACACAGACAGTTATAACATTATTCTTTACACAAAAAAGATGCTAATAAAAACATGGAAATTCACATTCATAACTTGGTTGCTACTAATGAGATAAAAATACAGTGAAGAGACAGAGAATATAAAACATATACAGAACAACAATTCTGTACTCACAGAGTACTCAACAAAAGTTCTGAACTCACACAGATATGAGCATCAATTTTAAATGTAAATTTTCATTTGACAGAGTTACAAGCGGTACTGCCGAATGATGGCTGAAAAGATGACTGAGGAGCCAGCTCAAAAGTTTATAAAACCTGGCAGCCACAAAGGCAAGGGCCTTGCTGTATTCACCAGTGGAGGCGACTCTCAAGGTAACTAAAAATGAACACTCTATGAATCATTGCGTCCACAGATATGTTCTAATTAGATGTAATTATATTAATTTTGGAATATTTCTGGTATTTTTTCCCAGGAATGAACGCCGCCGTACGAGCGGTCGTGAGGATGGGCATCTATCTCGGGTGCAAAGTGTTCTTCATCAAGGAGGGTTATCAAGGAATGGTGGACGGCGGAGCGTACATTGAAGAGGCAACGTGGTCGTCTGTGTCTTGCATCATCCACAAAGTGCGTATAGCGGAATCGCGAATATTGCATCATCATACTGATTATAACATTGTGTCCTTTTTTAGGGTGGTACAGTGATCGGCTCCGCACGGTGCAAGGACTTTAGAGAGCGTGCCGGTCGCCGGAAGGCTGCTAAGAACTTGGTGACCCGCGGAATAACGAACCTGGTGGTGATTGGTGGAGATGGCTCGCTCACAGGCGCAAATCTGTTCAAGGAGGAATGGCCCGAGCTGCTGAAGGAGCTTGTTGATTCTGGTAAGTGAAGAACGTTTAGAAATGCTTGTTTCGTCTCCGCGCTATATCTTACATAAGCTAACGTTATTTAACGTCCACTCAAGCGCGGTTACATCAACTGAATGCTAACCAACATGTCTGTTTTTCCTTCAAAATAAACATAAGCAGATATGTTTTAACTGTTAGTTTACCACTTGATTAGTGCAATCTGGGCCTTACTAAATTAACATAGTTGACTTTTTATGCTAGGCGATATTACTGCTGAGCAGAGCGAAAAGCACAAGCATCTGCATATTGTGGGAATGGTGGGCTCTATCGACAATGACTTCTGCGGAACAGATATGACAATCGGCACCGACTCGGCGTTGCATCGTATCATCGAGAGTATAGATGCTATTGTTAGCACAGCTTACTCTCACCAGAGAACGTTTATAATGGAAGTAATGGGTCGGCATTGCGGGTAAGTGAATCCTTGCATTTTTACCACAGGGAGAAAATCATTCAGGATTTGTATTATTGGACAATTAATTATACGCATTATAGAAGCGTCATAGGAGTCACAGTTGTTGCGCACGTGGAAAATATCACGTAATTCATAGCGGCTGGGCTCGACGAATCTTACGAAATTAATATCTAAATGTCGTTATCACGTTAAAACGATATCAGCTTTGTAGTGTCGACAGTTATGATTTATGAGTATATAGTACAGACAAGCGATTTTCGGCTAGGTATCTGGCTATCGTGGGCGCTCTAGCTGCGGAGGCCGATTATGTTTTCTTCCCGGAATGTCCGCCTCCCGTCGACTGGCCCGAAAAATTATGTAGAAAGTTGGAGCAGGCACGTTCGATGGAGATCTTTTTCCAAATTTTACACTGCGTTTCGCTAATTCCTACTAACTTGACTTAACACGAGAAATTGGTTTTCTTTTTCGTCTTTGTGTCAGTTTGTTTCTTGGTTGCTGAATGTATTCTTAATTAATAAGCATATACGCTGGACGTGCATTCCTCCGAGTATGATGACGTAAGGAGGAACGTGTACGAGAGATATACTCACATAAATTTTCAACAAAGATAATTAATAGATACGTAGATACATAGATGACGACGGTACTGAAGATAATTAGACGACAGAGTCTTTCAGGTACCTGACGATAGCGTCAAGTTTATCCTCGGAAGCCTGCTATTTCTTTATTCCCGAGTCTCCGACACGCGCTGATTGGGTCGAGGAGCTTTGCGAAGCTGTGCGACAGGCACATTTCTCTCTCTCTCTCTCTCTCTCTCTCTCTCTCTCTCTCTGTTTCTCTCACACCAGCTATTTTACTTCAGATTATTATTATTATATGGAAATGGAAATTTAGTTGGATCAATCAAATGTCTGATAAAATATGGATGAGCTAGAATTCCAGTTGAAATTACTAGAATTCTGCTCAAATTAACAAGATTTCTGATTAATTAAAATTTGCAACTGTTCAACTTGAATTCTGATTCATTCACTTTTAATTAGATATTTGGTTAATCCAACTAAGCTTTTTTTCTATATATATGATCATATTACATATTAATGTATTCTCTCTCTCGTGAAATAATAGTAATTTAGAGATATCTTATAAATACAGTATAATCTCTTTGAGATTGCAGATATTTTGTAAATTTTCTTGCTCCTCGCCATTTACCCTGTTGGCGCTTAGGTTGCCCGCGAATCTCTCTTACAAATATATTGGCTTTCACGTATGTCTGTCGGTCGGTACAGCCTTTTTTCAAATTTATATTTCATATAATTACGATGTAACGACGTTAATTTACACTATATTCTTGAACATCGTATCGAAGTAGATTTAGTTAGGTTTTACGATGTACCATTGCAGTTATCTGGCTCTGGTGGCAGCTATGTGTTGCGAGGCTGATTTTGTTTTCATCCCAGAATGGCCACCTGAGCAGGATTGGCCCAACAAGCTGTGCAAAAAGTTGCTGCAGGTTCGATGAATTTTTTTTTAGTTTTTTGAGACAAGTATCATTATGTTTGTTTCGCGTAAGTCGCCAAACCTGCAACGCGAATAGCACATTGCATTCTGCAGAATTCACTTTGTTTTGTTCTTTTAAACGGTTGCAGGCTGTTGCAATCATTTTAGTTATTTATCGATTGTTTGATTATTTGTTTATCGATATTTACTACATTCACTTTGTGAACACTTTTCGTATGTAATTTAGGGAAAAGATAATATTATTATATAAAATAAAAAGACAATGTGCATGCTACAACAAACTTACGATTTTTCTATAATGCTTGTGTTATGTGAAGTACTATATTATTTAATACATTTACACAAATATATGAAACACTATTAATGTAGGTAGAAGTATTAGAGTATTTTATACATATTACTTTGTATATGGTGTTAATTTTTTTTTTATTATACTTTTATACACAGTCTGTTATTAAATCTGTTGAAGCAAAATTTTCACTTTGGCGTGCAGAAGATTTTTATTGCTCTTACCTTTTAGGAGAGACTTACTGGGCAACGACTCAATATTATTATCGTTGCTGAAGGAGCTGTCGACAGGAATGGCGATCCAATTACTGCCGAGAAGGTACACAAAGTAGTTGTGGAAAAGCTACAGCAAGACACGAGGATCACTGTGTTGGGTCATGTACAAAGAGGTGGTAATCCTTCTGCCTTCGATAGAGTTTTGGTAAGATTCCGCAATCTAGGATTTTTAAAATGGAACTTTATAGAATTTGAAATTGGATTATTGAAAATTGAATACGTTAAATATATTCTATTATTATCAGGACCTTGAATAAGTTCTCGCTGTTTTCCATAAGATGGCGTTACCAGAACTGCGTGCGTGTAGTTTAAGATAGTAATGCATCTATAAGGAAGTACTATAAGCAAGCTTGAAATTCAGTGTATGTCAGTTCGCCGAAGTGTAAACAACTTTTTTTTTCATAGTGTTAAACATGTCGAGTTTCGTGCCAAAAAAAGAGTATTTGCAGGGAATTTTATTGCACTACTTTATTCAAAAAAAATCTGCGGCTGAAGCACACAGAATTCTTGTTGAGACTTACAGCGACCATGCTCTGTCGGAAACAACATGTAGAGATTGGTTTAGACACTTCAAAAATAATGATTTTGATGTTGAAGATAAAGAACGCTTTGGCGCACCGAAAAAGTTTGAAGACGAAGAATTGGAGGCATTACTTCATGAAGACTCATGTCAGACGCTAGCTGAACTTGCAGAATCACTAGGAGTTGATCACACAGTTTCGAAACGTTTGAAAGTATTAGGAATGATTCAAAAGCGAGGACATTGGGTGCCGTACGAGTTGAAGCCGAGAGACGTCGAACGGCGTCTTTTCACGTGTGAACAGCTGCTTCAACGGCAGAAAAGGAAAGGTTTTTTGCATCGTATCGTGACTGGCGATGAAAAGTGGATAACTCTAAGCGTAGAAGATCGTGGGGTAAGCCCGGCCATGCATCAACATCGTCGGCAAAGTCGAATATCTATGGTTCGAAATTTCTGCTCTGCGTTTGGTGGGATCAGCTGGGTGTAGTTTATTATGAGCTGCTCAAACCGAACGAAACCATCACGGGAGATCGCTATCGGCTACAATTGATGCATTTGAGCCAAGCATTGAAAGAAAAACGGCCGCTATACGAACAGAGACACGACAAAGTGATTTTGCAACATAACAACGCTCGGCCACATGTTGCACAATCGGTGAAAACCTACTTGGAAACGCTTAAATGGGAAGTCCTACCCCACCCGCCGTATTCACCAGACATTGCCCCTTCCGATTATCACTTATTCCGATCGATGGCCTGGCTGAGCAGCACTTCCATTCTTATGAAGATCCCAAAAAATGGGTCGACTCTTGGATAGCCTCAAAAGACGTATCGTTTTTCCGACGTGGAATTGAAATGCTGCCAGAAAGATGGGAAAAAGTAGTGGCTAGCGATGGACAATACTTTCAGTGACATGTTTTTTACGACTTTTTTTAAATAAAGCATTAATTTTCACGAAAAATCAGCGAGAACTTATTCAAGGTCCTAATATTATTCTTTTGTTAATTTTAACGCGTATCCACGCATTCTTTATCTATGTATTATTTATTAACACGTACGATCAACAATATATTACAGGGATGTAGAATGGGAGCTGAAGCTGTGATGGCTTTAATGGAGGCGACACCCGAAACTGAAGCGTGTGTTGTTACACTGGATGGTAATCAAGCCGTAAGATTGCCACTTATGGAATGTGTTCGTCGTACGAAAGCCGTAGCGCAAGTAATGGCCGATAAAAATTGGGACCTTGCAGTTCAGCTTCGAGGAAAGTAAGTGAATTTAAATAAATTATATCGGAAATGTTTAACTTAAAAAGTATAACGTATATCTTAACATCGATTTGTGATTTCCAGAGGCTTCGAACGTAATCTAGAAACCTACAAGATGTTGACACGCTTGAAAGCTCCAGTAGAAAGTTCCGATCCAACCAAGGTATGATCGTATTCTCTGCTCGCAAGCGAGCTTGTTTAGATGACCCAAAAGCATTTAAACTCTGCGCGGTGTTATTAATATCTCGGCCGATCGAACTGATAGTAGTGTATAGCATTGTAGTCTTAGCAAAATTTTGGGTCACTGATAAAATAGCATAAAAATAGCAATAATACATAGATTATTACATATGCTGTTTAATACTGCTTCAGGAAGTTATTAATGGGTGCGCATTACCGAAGGTAAATCAGTTAAGAACTTATTACTAGGCGTTCTCTTATTTTTTTACAAATACTACACTTGCAATATCCTGTGAACGTCGAGACGAAGTCGCTCTAATCACAGCACCTTTTTTCCTCCCCTAGCAATACACTTTATGTGGACAAGTGAGTTGATCCATACCTTTGGAATAGAGAATGCGTGCCTCATACGTTAGACACATTTCATTTTCGTACTTCACGTTCGCGCCTAGGCAGACGAAAGCATTGTGCGCTACTTATAACGTGCGACATCATACACAAGCCGTCATTCAGTTTCCTGTGCACGTTGCATGATGCGCCGTATTGGTTTTCACGTCGTTGTTAATCCATGATTTTCCTTACAGGATCATTATACATTGGCGGTCATGCATATTGGATCACCGTCTTGCGGTATGAATGCTGCGGTTCGCTCCTTCGTGAGGAATTGTATCTATCGAGGTGATAAGGTATTATATTTCATATACATTATGAGTCATCATATTCTATGTCTTAGTTGTACTCAATTCATCTCTTTGTCTCGGTGTAGGTGTATGGTATCTGCGACGGAGTGATGGGTCTCATTGGCGGTAGATTGAAACTGATGGATTGGCCTTCAGTCACCGGTTGGGTTGCACAAGGTGGCGCTTACCTGGGAACAAAACGCGCGCCACCCACAGAAGAACAGTTGCCGCAAATCGCTCAGAAGCTTAAAGAATTCGGCATTCAAGCATTGTTGATCATAGGTGGATTCGAGGTACTTAAAACGCATTTTTCAAACATTTTATCTCGATCGAAATACCAGTATCGATAACCAAGTGTATTTTATGTACAGGGATATCAAACTGGTCTGATGTTCTACAAAGCGAGAGACAAGTATGAGGAGTTCCGTATTCCTATCGCCATGATCCCCGCGACTATCAGTAATAATGTACCAGGGACGGAGTTTTCTTTGGGCTGTGATACAGCTTTGAATGAAATTACGGAAGTAAGTATCACAATGCTTTCATAAGTACAATTAGAGATTAATGATTGTTTCTTGCTTTCTTGTTTTTCTCTTTTCTTTTTGCTAAGAAAAACTAGTTATTGTCTCGATATTTTTAAATTTGGCTAATTCCTATGTCGATAAGTATTCTAGTATACAAGTCCATTATGTAGTTTTAGCGATTAACTTTAATAGTCATGTGGCTTTTATATGTATCGTCATTACAAATAAAAGTTTCTCTTAGATTAAATTTAGAAAATTTTTGAAGAGTTATTAGAAAAGTTAGAATAATATAGAAAGATTAAGAAGTTTAGAAAAATTCTATTAATTTGCTTTTAATAATAAAGTAAAATAGTTATAAAAATATCCAAAATTAATCAGCGGTTTCAAAAAATTTAATATTTTCAAAATATAATTCACAATTGTAAATTAATTATTTAAACATTAATCCTTTTTCTGTAATTACCCATCTTCTGTATATAATTTTATTTAAAAAACAATTACATAACATACACAATTACATAATGATAATACATAATTATCATTTTAGATTTGTGATCGTATTCGACAATCGGCGCAAGGTACCAAATGTCGTGTATTTATTATCGAGACAATGGGTGGTTATTGTGGATACTTAGCGACAGTCGCTGGTCTGGCCGGAGGTGCTGATGCAGCATATATTTTCGAAGAAAAGTTTAATATCAAAGGTATTTTAATTTTCTAGTATAACGAATTCTTTTACTCGTAATAACGTTTTGAAAAATGAAAAACTTAGGTGTTTAATGTTTAACATTATAATGTTTATATTATAGATTTGAATCAAGATGTCATTGCGATGGCGGCGAAGATGTCAGAAGGTGTTCAACGAGGTCTCATCCTCAGAAACGAAAACGCCAATCAAAATTATAGTACCGATTTTATGCAAAGACTTTTCAGTGAGGAGGGAAAGGGTTTATTCAGTAGCAGGATGAACATAATTGGTATAAGTTTTTTTTTGTTTGTATTAATGCTGTTAGGATAAATCAGATAGTTGTTATTTGAATATCTAAATTGATATTGCAGACTACACCTCGATAATATCCATTTATTATCTACTATTGATTTCTGTATCGCAGCCGGTCGGTTGCTTTTTTTTAAACTATGTACACTCATCACGATACTCGAGTAATTTTCACAATATTATTGGATAACAGAGAAATATTTAAAAGACTCAAATATTTAAATAGTAAACTCCAAATTAAGTTAGAACCTCAGTATACAAATATCTGTATATTGATATCACTAATTTTTACTTTTCCTTATAATTGAACTTTTATTATTTCATCTATACAATAGTTTATATCATTTAATTAATGAATTAGATAAAATTGTTTTTATTGCTACATTGCTACATAATATTTAATTAGATCGCTATACTAAATATTTGTTGTATTTTAGGTCATATGCAACAAGGTGGTTCACCAACGCCTTTTGACCGCAATTTAGGAACGAAAATGGGTGCTAAAGCTGTGGAATGGTTCAGCGATCAATTACGAAAATGTACCGGTTCCGACGGCAAAACCGTCACGACGAATGCAGACAGTGCTGTGATGCTCGGTATCGTAAGACGACAATACAGATATACATCGTTCATGGAGCTCCTCGAAGTTACCGACTTTGAGTACGTATTTTCTCCGATTCCTTGGAGAATTGTTTCAATATCTTCAGTATCGGACGTAATTCCCCTCATATTCTATGTAACTTCAGGCATCGTATTCCGACATATCAATGGTGGATGAAGCTGCGTCCTTTACTGAAGGTGTTGGCGAAGCACGAGTCGACGTACGAAGAAGAGGGTCTGTATATAACCGTTGAGGAAATGGATCTTCAAAATGATCCGCCACTCGTATAAATCGCTAAATGAATTATCTAAAATCGCGACAAGTAGATAGACAAATAGATAACGTTACACAAAATAAGTGTCGCTAACTGTGTGAAGAATAGATTCCGTTCGAAAGTATTGTATGACATTACGATAATTCTGCCTCCGCTCGACAAGGCGAAGGGAAACGATTTTTATGTGTACGTATTTATCAAATCGCGCGTCCGAAATATCCGATTGTTTATTGGTTCTTACGACAATAGCAATTGCAATAACAAATTCGAGATGCAAATTACACGAACAAATGCAACGGAGAATCCCGGATTATATTATTCTTCGGTTTTGAGAGTCGCGTTTAGTATCTCGAACGTAGACTCGAATTTTCCAACTCAGGTGAGAAATAGGTACAAAGGCAGTATCTGAAGCGCGAGAGATGTAAGATATACTTCAGTCATGCGAGCTCGGTTCGTGCCAATAGAAGTGAGGTCTCCCCGTTTGGATAACGACGAGATGGCGCGGTATTGTTACAATATATTTCCTAGTGACGTTAAAATCGCATTGTGTGCAATTTTGATGTATAGTAATGAAATTACACTAGACACTTCGATAAATGTAAAAATTTCTAGCGTATAATAAGGTACACGAAGTTTAGGCGCCAAATTATGGAGAATTACAGAATCGCTTTCATCAAACAGAGAGAGAAAGAGAGAAAGAGAGAGAAATAAACAGAGAAAGAAAAGGAACACGCGACAAAAATTAAGAAACCAACCAGTGATACATTAGAGACTTACATTTGATATGCTGCTCGAATCCGGTATACAATTTTGCTGTCTAGTAAGTTATTGTGCGATATTTTAATCAGTGCGTGTTTAATAGTTGAAATTTTAATTAAATTGAATTCACATATGCACATATATATGTGTGTATTTATATTTATTATATATAATATCCAAAATTATAACTCTAGAAATTTCAGAGTTATAAAATATCGGCTAGTAAAGCTATCGTAATATTTCACATTAGAATGTTTGATTTTAATTGAACCTCAGAATATGCTATTGAAATATCGCACCATGGTGAAACCATGGTACAATTATCAGAAACGAAAAACAATTCATGTTAACTTGTTAGCGTCTTTAGTGAACGATGATATTATTTTCGATGTTTTTATCATCGTGAATCAAAAATTAAATTCAAGAATTAAATTCAGCTTGACGAGAAGTCTTATTTCGTCAGTTTGCATTATACTTGACGTAACATCCGGTGAAACATTTGTAACAAGTACGATTTTCAGTTGCGACACACGGATCGAGAAGTGAATCAGATTGTGAAATTTCGAGAGTTTTACAGATTAAACTTTGTGAATTGTATTTGTGGTCTACTAAGGTATAGGATTAAAAATTAATGTGGCATTTTGTGCGTTGATGAAAATGTTTATCCTTCGGTTTAGCGTTTACTCGAAGCTATAAAAAGCTATTGGAGAATATACCTGTCTACCTCAAAACATAATTTTGCAACGGTGAACGTACGACTCACGCAGTAGAAGGGAAGAGATAGAAAGAGAGGAAGAGAGATCGACCCGTGAGTCGCGCTCTGGTTGCATGTAACATTAAAGAATTTCGCTAAAATTTAAGGCTTGTGACCACAAACGAGTACTTAGATTTAATTCCTTTTCTCTTACTATACTCGTATATTTATCTTTCGACGAAATCGTGCAAACTATTAATAATCTCTTGTAATTGTTTTCTCGGCGTATATAAGGTAGCGTTCTCGTCTCGTGCTCTTGCGAGATTCTATAGAGACCAGGCAGTTGCATTTTGGTGACCACTGGAAATTATAATTATGTCTCGCGTGCCGTACAACTCGCTCGCTCGCTCGTTCACGTTCGCATATCCGCTTGTATGCGTAAATGAGTAACATTACCGAGCGTGATTAACGGGAGTACGAACGTAAAAGAGATGGGAAGAAAGAGAGGGAGAGGGAGAGACTCGTGTATGTGTGTGCATGCATGTTGTATGTATGCGCCCGTTGTAGCGTGTACTTTTCATAATTTTCTCTACATAAGTAATTCGCGCACCCGCCAACCCGCTCGCGTGAAGAATCGCGGAGCACGCCACGATCTTTCGTTTTGAATGCCGCCGCACTTAGCACTCGCAACTCGCGTCGACTTGCACATAAGATTGGCTTAATAGATAACGTTCGATGCGTGCATGCGTAAAGAGAAAAAGAAAGAAGCAAGGACAAGTAAACAAACTTCGAAAGTACAATAATTATACGCGCGTATGTTACGAGTTTGCTCTCGAATTAGGGTATTAACGTAAGATCGTAAAATGTAATATACGTAAAAAGAGTTATAGATTGCTTGTTTCTCAAATCGTTATCGAAGTACGTATGTATGATCTACTACTTGGTAGTGTATACGACAAGTAGGAGATTATAACTCTCGTTTGAAAAGCAATCGAATAATACCACTAACACGACATTTAATCATTTAAACGTCGTATCGCATAGAGATTTTCTTCGTTTATTCGTTACTACAGCAAGAGGCTACAAAGGCAACCAAAGAGATCGTATTTGAACGAAACTGAGGCGCGATGATGGGGGAGACACAAAGGCTGTCGTCAATTTTATTTGTGTGTCAAATTATTAAGTCTATTCTTTTTAGCTGCATTAGCGCAGCAACTTTGTTCTTTTTCCCTGTGATACACTCGTTTCACTTCAGAGGAAAAAGATGCAATCTAATTCAGGTAAAAAGAACAGACAAATTCGCAAATTGTATCCGAGCATTGAAACACGTTTTATCGTACATTCTCGTGTGTGTCTCGATGAATTTTTATCATGAAAGCGACTATGTTGCTAGAACTCGCACCCGACGTGTTAATATATATTCGGACAGTTATTTGATTCGCGTATCTCTTCGTCGACATACTAATATGTATAATTAACTGTAGTTATGCAAGAACGATTCAACCTACATGAAGTATGTTTTGAGAAAAATGAAAATAAACATTTGATACATGATTTAAAAAGTACAGATTGCACTTTCTTTGCAATTATTCAAGAAGTTAAGCATAGTCAATTTTCTTCTTTTTAACGATATTCATTGATAAATTTAATCCTTGGCAATAGGTAAAAAAGATGCAACCAGTAGAAAGTGAAAACTGCTTTTTAATTAATTTTAGACGTTCATGAGGTTTGGATCTTTTTTGTTTTTTATGTAGAAAGTCGTATGAATTACTCATTGATAAAACAAAAACCAAAAAAATCATAATTTTGTAGATTGGATTATTCTTGTATAACTATGGCCAATTATAACATGTGTAATTATCGAGCGCTGTATTTATCGCACTGTACTGCAAAGCTGTACACGCAGAAACGTACAAATGGTACTCGCGTAATGTCGAACTGTTAGCTGTTCCCGGCGCATTGGCGCATTAAGGATACGCGTGTATAGAAATGAGATATTATTTTTAAGATTTCAGAGATATATTTTCGAGTCATTGTTGATCAATGAATTTACATCCGAGATCCGTGACGTATATATAGTATTACATTTATCATAATTTATTTTTTCTCTTCCGATGTGATCGGCATCCCACCGCACTTTCGACGGCGCGACGCGTATTATATTGTATACATTTGTCAAAAATTCGGAATTTCGATCGAGATCGATTGTCTAAATCGACGAACGTATAAATCTGGCGGTATGAATACGTATTATCATACACATTGACGATGTTGTATCTATGTCGTGAAATAAACTAAATCTTCTAAACATGTTACGCACACGTTACCTGATTTTGTGTTACAAAAACTATACAATAAATTATTAGATCTGATATGTTGTACAGATGATATGTTTAATTTCGTCGGCTAATATTAATCGTAATGATATGTCATAAAAATATCAAATATTTTATCGTATAACTTATTCGGTCACAAATATTTTTATGAAAATCTAGTAATGCCATTGAAATCGTTCGAGTATGTAGCTTTATTCTGATTTTTATTTTTATTTTTATTTTATTTTTATTTTTATTTTTTTACAGATATAATATCTATAATTATATATACTATAAAGAATCGAGTAAAATTTCTTCAAAAAGGATATATTTGAAATGCAACCCAAATGAAAATTCTACTTTTGCACTAGTTACGAAAGACAATTCGCGGAGGTCGCCATCTGTGACACAATAGAGCGTGACAACCTTAGAGCATATGGAGGGGGAATGCTGGTACGAAAGTGTATCCAAGAGAGAGAAAGTGCGAGAGAGAAAGTTATACGTTCCTATTCGTCCTCTGTACGCGTGCGTTGAAGTTGACAGGTTAGGTTAGATTATAGAGTTGACAGATGTTATTTATTTTCTTCTCATAGAGCTCTGAGAATTTTTTCAGAATTTTGTATTAACTTTTTAGTACTTCAAGAAAATGCAAGAAAACGCAAAAATGCAGTACTAAAAAGTTAATATAAAATTCTGAAAAAATTCTTCGAGCTTTATGAGAAGAAAATAAACAATTTTTATCTCTTGCTATTTTTCGGTAAAGTTGATAGAATTCAAGTAAAAAAATATTGAAACCAATAATTTTGTAGTCCAGCAACAACTGACGCATGTGGCGCACAGAGAAGGAATAGGAATGTATACCTTTCTCTCTCGCACAAATCTTGGAGACACTTTTGGTCTACAGGAGGCATACGCAATTCCCCCTCCATATATATATGCTCTAATGGCTCCTGCACACAGGACGCGGTAATGCTTGCCGCGCGGCGGAAGTTCGCGCGACAGCCAATCAATATGCTACTTTCCGTAATAACCTTCTAGCTCTTACGGAAAAACAACATATTGATTGGCTGTCGCGTGGACTTCCGCCGCGTGGCAACATTATCGCGTCGTGTGTCAGGAGCCATTACGCAATGTAGAATGAGCTTACACGGACACAATCGCCAGAAAATGAGCGTAGAATGGACACAACACTCGACACTTTACCGGTAGCGTCTGAAAATGGGCGTAGGGAACGTAGTTCTACCTCAAAAATGAATGCAGATGACGCATCGAACAGTGTGAAAATCGGTGTCGGCCAAAACGTATAGCGTGACCGCTCTTAGGTTTCTCTCTGCTTATATAGTCAAAGCCTTCATCTTATTATAAAATACTGTTTTATCGTTACCATAACATTCACCGTGTAAAAACTCTTTTGAAGTAGGCGACGTAAAAATGGAATACGGTATGAAGTCACGTGACTTCAGCGTTTACTGTATCTAAAATACGAAATTGCAAAAACTCCATAATATCGCCGCTAGCTTCGTGCCTATGTCACGCGGTCCGCTCATCAGCGATGAGACAAGAATAGAGCGATTAGACGTCGTCCTTTTCTAACTTACTATCATTGTACGGAAGAACAACGGGCATGAACTAGGCGCATTTTATCGTTATCACCGCGAAAATTCGCCTAACGAACGTAGTAAGGGCGCACTTTGTTAGATGGCGTCTCGAAAATGTGCCTAGCCTAGCGATTTAAATCAGGCTGGTGGCTGCTATCATGCTTCTTTCTGGTATGACTCACGTAGTGCCAACAAGTTGGGCCGGCGAACGCCACATTGCTCGGCGTTGGCCGCCGCGTAGCGTAGTGCGCGTGTGACGTTTCCGTGGTGAGTACAGTTGAAAGTGTGGCTTGGCGGGTGGTGAACTCGCCTGTCTGTCGTGTCGCGATCGTCGTGCGGTGAGGACTCCTCGGTGGCAAAATGGTCGCGGTGAAAGGACGCAAGAACTCGAGCAAGAATCCGCCGATATTCAGCCATGAATTCATCATACAGAATCACGCGGACATCGTCTCCTGCGTGGCGATGGTCTTCGTAGTCGGCTTGATGATACAGGTTAGTGTGCACGTCGATTCTTCTACCGGCGTCCTGTACCCGTGTCCTTTGTCCTGTAATTTTGAGAACATTCGATCTCCCAGGTTGTGCCAAACCAATCCCAGGTCGAACCAGTCGTATCCCCGTTCGCATGCTCCGTTCGGGTCTTCGTTTCTGTATCTCGGGCGAAATGAAAACTCCAGGAAATCGGGTGGAAATCGGAAAAGTGGGGCGACCATATGTTACAAGTAGTAAATATCGCGATAGAGTTTAATTGGATAAAGTCTAGTTGTAGGTGATTGTTTGTTGATTGTATTTGCAAAGATATATTGTATGTTTTATATGAAAACCTATCATCAACTATTAATGACATATTTTGAATTATAAATATGTATAGTTGTTGAACACTATAGTTACTGCAGTTGCTATATTTATTATGACATTAATTTTGAAGAAAAAAGATGTATCAGAATTATTTAATTAGGATTATTTACTGCATATGTTATTTTTATAGTCATATATATGATATATATCATATAGTCATATATATGATATTTATGGTTGTTATATGTAAAAGTTTTATCTCAAAGATTTTATCTAATATTATCATTTCCTTTCAGGTTACCTCACCATGGGCATATACTTTTGTTGCCTTGCATTACAATGTGACCAATTCTACTGAAGACCCAATAGTTACAACAAGGTATACTACAGGGTGGAAGGATGCATGTGCAGTATTCTTTTACTTTTTGATAACTATCGTACTGCACGCTGTGCTCCAAGAATATATATTTGATGTAAGATAGCTACTTATAATTAATTATAAATGCATATTTAGCTTTGGTGAACCTTTATTGACAAAATTGCTTTCTTCCATAGAAAATTTCCAAGCGGCTTCATCTCAGCAAGGCCAAACTTTTCAAATTCAACGAGTCCTGCCAATTGATTGTCTTTTATATAGTGTTTACATTGTGGGCCATTGATATTATAATCAGGTAATATCAGTAAAAAGATAATATTATATCTGATTTTCTAAGTATCAACCAGAGATGATATATTAAAAAACTATTATCTTTCTTTCAGGGAAAATGTACTTTTAAATCTACCAGCATTGTGGATGGAATATCCAGCGCCAATGTCCTTCTCTCTGAAGCTGTTTTTCGTTGCTCAGTTCTCCTACTGGTTGCACTGTTACCCCGAGTTGTATTTCCAACGAGTCAAGAAGGAGGATATTCCGCTGCGCGTTCTCCACGCGACTGTCGGACTGTTCTTCACATTTTTGGCTTATTTCTTCAAGTAAGATTATATAATAGCGCATTGTAGATATTTCTCTTTCACTCTTGTGCCTGTTTGCAATAATCATTTCTCTTGCAGTTTCCAACAGCTTGCTGTAATTCTGCTAGCTCTGCATTTCATGGGAGACGCCTTGCTACACAGTGCCAGACTGATCCATTTCATTAGTCAAAAAGAGAAAGCGTCGAGACGTAAGTTTCTCTTGTTGCTAAATAATAATCTACATAAAAACTGTAAGAATTAGTAATGCTAATATATTAATATATTTCTACAACTCCACAGTATCTTTCCTCGTTGCCAATTCAACGTACGCGTTCGCGCGTGTAGCGAGCGTCGTGCTGACAACAGTGGTGTTCATGTACGGTTTGAGAAAGTTGGAAAACAAATTCGACTTCGCCACCGGCAACTTCAACATCCCTGCCGTACAATATGCGATGGTATCCGTCATCTCGTTCTTCCAATCCTACCTACTGTATCTGCTCATTAAGAAACAACTAAAGTACGCACGCGAAAACGCTGCACCGGTCGTTGTGAAGGCGAAACCAAAACAAAAGTCGAGGAAGCGAGAAGGTAAGAGACTGTAGTTACACTGAATCTTTTTCCGTCATCCCTGTGCCAGATTTTATATCAATGATGCCAACATCGTATGTGTGCTTAGGCAAGAAATCCGTCCAGTCCGAGGACGACGAGCTCCCGGAGGTGGACCAGGCGACGAAGAAGAATCTGAGGAATCGTTCGTCGGCTAAAGCAAAATAGATGTCTAATAAATTAGAGAAATCATCCTAAGGCTGATCGGATATTCGATCCTATTCGTCTGTATGTCGTGAATGCGTCTGAATTGTGTCCGAGAACGCAATCGTAATACAGGAATTCGAAGCTTCCATACATAGTCGCTACCGACTCAGAGTCACGTCGTGCAAGATGCTGAAGTATTCGATACTCGGCTTCGTAGGAAAATGTATAAACGGACAAGTGGTTCTTATCGTTAAGCATTTCACGAAAGCGGTAGGTACAGGGATCCGCTATGATAACGAGTTTTTTTTCTCTTTTATTTTCTTTTTTTTCTTAATTATAATTAAATCGATCCTTTTGTGATTTACTCATTTTCGTTTTGTAATTGTAGATAAATGTTATATTCACAAAAATATTAATGCGCATTTTGGAATATTGTCTCTTTAGGCACGTTGCGTATATTTTCTAGGTACGTAAACGTGTGCAATCTTTAATACTTATTAATATTAATACTTATTAATATAGATTAATTGATAATTGAAAATTTGCAATTGTTCCTTCCTATTTCATCGTTATTTAAAATTCACGGATTTCCTTTTGCACGTGGCTTACTTCTGATAAATTTAGGGACAATTGATTAAGGAGTAAGTAGTCAGAGTATAAAAATATATAAATTTACTACAGTAATATATACATATATTATATATATATATATACAATAAGTTGCAGGAAAGAGAGTAAAGAATATACACTATATATATCGCACGAATATAATATTCTGGACCATAAATGTGTTATAAGAATTATGTCAAAAATATACATATCTTATTATGGAATTATGATACTGTTATGTTAAAATACAAATTTTGCGACTATTTTTTAATATATATATACCGATAGAGAACGAAGTCTCGTTATTTCAGCACCGTGTGCTTATCAAGATCATAGTTTCAATATTGCTTTATATA